ACAACACAGTGGGTAACTTCCAAGACGCGCTGAAACAATTGCGTTCTAATGAAGTACCTAAAAACCTGGAGCTGGCCGATTTCGACCCAATTGCTGCCGCAAGAGGTGATTATCTGCGCGATAGAAACGCGCCAGTAACACAAAATAGGCGTTATATTTTGCCACAGAGACAAATGATTCCCCATTTGCAGAGAGAGCAGCCCGCGAGAGAGCCGCCAAAGCTGCCGGGATCCCTCTCCAAGAAATCGAGGAAGAACTGCCAAGGTAGGAACGATACACTCACTACCGAAATGGGGTTGACAAATGTTGTGTGTTCCGCATTTACCGCGATGGCACTACCAGAAGTTCCGGTATTCGATAACGCGCAAGGCAAAGGGTTCGAAAAGTTCCTACTCTCCTTTAGGGTTAAATATGATGGATTGAATTTGAGTGATGAAATGCTTATCCACTTGTTATGCTCGAAGCTAGCAGGGCAACCCCGGGTTATAGTGGAGACTCTTCCTATGGATGTTCGGGAAGGAACATTCCATGATTTCGTGACCGCACTGAAGGCCAAATTCAAAGAGAATGAGTCTGCCAACAGAATGGAGGCATACGTTAGCCTCAAGAATCTCAGATCATTCGGGACTATCTCTGAGTACTGTGCACGGTTAGAACAGCTAACAAGGGCAGCCTATCCAGAATCGGCGGAAAGGGAGCTCTCCATGTTGCGTACTGGAGAGCTAATCGCACAACTGACTGAATGGCCAGAGTACGTTCAACTTTTCACGGAGGTAGAACAAACTCCGGCGGAGGAGGCTTATGAGAAACTAAAAGCCCTTGCACAGCGAATTGAAAGGAGTAGGGAAGTGGCACTACACTTGAAGCAAGAGGCCACGAATAAACTGAGACGTTTTCCACTAAGGAAGGGACGCCAAACGCCACCAGGGAGGAAGTACTCGATTGAGTCCGAAATGCAAAGAAATAAGGACCACTCACAGCCTTCAAACCCGAACCGAAACGGAAAGCAAGAAGGACCAAGGAAACAAGAATTGCTGTGCCATAATTGCAAAAAGCCTGGACATTTTAGGAGGGACTGCAAGGAACCCCCACAAACCCAGTACACTCACAGAGATACAAGAAAACTAGCACAAGGAGGCAAGAGCGATGCCACGAATGAATGTGGTGCAAGATCTTTTTCTACTGTACTGCGGCATTGGGCATGCAGTACTGTAACCAAGAAGGAAGATAGCGATCTGGTGGGGAGCCAAACATTAGAAACTGTGAGGTTTCTTGGCTTGACCAGGGAAGCACTCATAGACTCTGGATCACAAATCAGTATCATGCCTTTAGACCTGCTTCTGACAGCACAGCAGAAAGGGTTTGACATAGATGGAGATGTGGAACAGATTCCACAACAGAAATATCCACAAGTTTATGATGCTTCAGGCAATTTAATGACCTTCAAAGGTGCCATTCGTCTAACCCTAGAAATAAACAACGGACCCCGATGCCGAGTTGCCCTCTTCGTTATGAAAGGAGGAGATGACAGGATAGTGCTAGGGACAAACATCCTACACGCACTCGGCTACTCGGTCTGCAGGACAGGGAGCCCCTGTAAGTGTGAACGGGAGCAACCAAATCAACATGAAACCCTGGAATGGCATAGCAAGCGTTCTAAAAAGACCAGTAAGGCTAGGAAAGCGCAACAAGCCAAAGTAGCCGCACGAGTCTACATCAAACCGGGTGAAACCAAAGAACTGGAACTAACAAGCGCCTTCACCAAACAGACACAAGTATTGTGGTCTAACGATAGCTTAGTTCCTAATGCAGTTTGCAACATCATGCACGGGGCAGTAAAGATTCCTATCACCAATTCATCGGCAGAACCAAGAATTTACCGAGTCGGTGAAATAGTGGGTGAATGGGGAAAGGCCAAATTAGCAGAAGAAGCCCCACTTCATTACGCTAATATGCTAGAGCGGACGACAACACCTCCACCCGAGAGGAAGGCTCGCCTTTTACAACAGCTAAGGGAAAAGAAAAGTGAAAAAGGTGAAGACAAAGCTTGGGAAAATCTAGTGGAAAAGAACAGCGATGTTTTCGCTATTACAGACCAAGAGCTCACGCAGACGTCACTTGTCGAGCATGATATTGATACAGGCTCAGCACAACCGATACGCCAAAAGCCAAGACCAATTCCTTTGGGAACAAGGGTAGCGCTGAGGCAAATCCTCACAGATCTTCAGGAGAGAAACATCATTCAACCCAGTCATTCAAGTTGGGCCGCTCCCATAGTATTGGTACAGAAAAAGGACGGCACATTGAGGTTATGCGTGGACTATCGAAAACTAAATCAAGTCACAAAAGTAGATAGTTATCCCTTGCCGCGGATTGATACAATTCTCCAAAACCTCAAAGGAAAGAAGTATTTTTCAACCCTGGATCTTGCCTCAGGATACTGGCAAATAAAATTGACGAGTAACGCACGAGAGAAGAGCGCATTTGTTACGACGGAAGGACTGTATGAATTTAACGTGCTGCCATTTGGGTTGGCATCATCCCCTCCAGTTTTCCAACGGCTAATGAATGCAGTCCTCGGTCATCTTCTAGGTGACGAAGTAGCTTGCTACCTAGACGACGTAGTGGTAGCAACAGCGACAGCAGAGCGTCACATAGAAAGACTGGAACAAATTTTTCAAGCTTTTCGAAAGGCGAACTTAAAACTTAATCCAAGAAAGTGCACTTTGCTAGAACGCACGGTCGAATTCCTAGGTCATCTTGTGGATGCAGAAGGAATACACATGGATCCGAAAAAGGTCTCTGCAATCGTGGAGTATCCGTTACCTCAAAGTCGAAGCGAGCTAAGAACTTTTATTGGCATGTGCTCATATTATAGGAAATTTGTCCTTGGCTTCGCGAAAGTTGCTGCGCCTTTGCATGAGCTAACCTCCGAAAAACAGCCATTTGAATGGACACCAGAACGAATGCAGGCATTCGAGTTGTTAAAAAAAGTGATAACGTCGGCACCGGTGTTAACACAGCCAGACATCGAGGGAGCGCGAAGTGGCGAGAAACCATTCCAAATCCATACTGACGCCAGCTATTCGGGATTGGGAGCAGTTCTCAGTCAGAAAGGAGATGATGGTCTGCTCCATCCCATTTACTTTGCATCAAAAGGACTGACTAAAAGCGAACGCAATTATCATATCACGGATCTGGAAGCTCTCGCCGTAGTCTTTGCTTTGAGACGATTTCACATGTTCGTATATGGATTAGCTGTGGAAGTATGTACAGATCATCAACCACTTACATCCTTGTTTACTAGAGCTAATGTCTCAGCGAGAGTGCTACGATGGGCGCTCGAGTTACAAAAGTATAATCTCAAAATGGTTTACTTGAAAGGAGCGGCAAACAAGGTCGCGGATGCTTTGAGTCGAGGAGCTGCGCAGGCCCAGGACGGAGACCAGAATGAGAGTCTGGCAAATGGTCTCATTGTAGCAGCAGTCACCAAGGAACCTGAGTGGACAGTGGAACTCAGGCAAGACCCACTCTATGGGGATATCATACAATCATTAGAGCAGAAGAAGGAACCATCTTCGAAAAGAATCTTGAGGAACTACAATGTCGCAGATTTCACAATATCACAGGGCTATTTGTGCCTTGTGGAAAAAGACGGTTATCGAAGAATTGTACCAAAAGAGCACCGCAAAGAAGTGTTTCTGGAGGCTCACTCATCTTTGCTGGCAGGACATTTTGGTCCACGGAAGTTGATAAGAGAGCTGTCAAAAAAGTTCTTCTGGGAGAGTATGCATAAGGACATACTCCAGTGGGCGGAAGAGTGTAAAATGTGCACTCTACACAACCACAAACCGAAAATGACTCCACCCCTAAAGCCCATCGCTGTCTCCAAGCCGTACGAGATCATTGGCATTGACATACTGCAGATGGGATTAACCACTAATGGAAACCGCTATATTCTAAGCGTCATAGACCACTTTGCAAAGTATGGAGGAGCTTACGCTATAGCATCAAAATCAGCGGAGGAAGTTACTAGAGTGCTATTTGAGAGATGGATAGCGGAAGGTTGCCGATTTCCTAAATGTATTCTGTCTGATCAAGGAGGGGAATTCGACAACAAGATGCTAAATGAGTTATCCAAGACTTTAGGGATAAACCAGACATTTACTAAAGGGTACAATCCCAGAGAGAATGGGCTGACAGAACGATTTAACCAAACTATAGTACAGTTGCTGAGAAAGAAGGTAGAGATTCCAGTGGAGTGGGACAAGATGCTTCCATATTGTGTGCTAGCATATAACACTACTATACACGAGTCCACTGGCGAATCACCATTCTTTCTACTCCATGGCTTTGATCCTTATGTGCCCCGAGACTGCGTTGACAGTGGTATCACAACTTTTATGGTGGACCTGGACAGTTATGTACATGAGCTTGTGTTAGGGATGCGCATGACTCATGAACTTGCTCGCACACAAAACGAAAAGGCTCGGAAAAGAATGAAGCTCAACTACGATAAAAACCACAAGGTCATCGAGAGACCGTTGACTTTGGGCGACCGGGTGTATATGAAGGTACCTATGGAAAAGTCCTCATCAAATCACCCTAAACTAGTTAACGATTGGTCGGGCCCCTTTCGAGTAATCGAACTCAGTGACAACAGCGCTTTAATTACGCTGATAAATGCGAATGACGAGCCTAAGCGCGTACCTTTTGATCAGCTTAGAAAAGTACCCCGAGGGGTCGACGACGAGCCCGTTAAAACCATTAGGGGAAGAGCAAAAAGGGGTAGACCAAGAAAAATTTTAAACTCTAAAGTCTTTTGTTTCAGGGTCGAAGTTGGAGACCCGCGGACGGATCCACTGCATCTATTACATCCCTGCAACTGCGGTATTTTTGGAGAACGTGCACATGTGGCTCTACCTGGATTGCGCTGCCAGTTAGCCAGGTCGAAGAAAGTGAAGAACCTGTTTGAGCTCGCAAATGTTGCTTCAATCGCCATGGAACCCACGTGGGGAGACTGGAGAAAAGAGAACGAGCTTCTAAAGAAGCAGTCCACACACCTGTCGGTCATCGGACTTAGTTGTGCCATATCAGCCCATCGGTCGTTTTGCCATGATTTCGCCATGGCACTTCGCGAAAGAGAAGGACAACGGCTACAACATCCGGACATTTTTTCGCAGAAGACGGACTACGATTTGTCCGCATACTACAATCAAGCACTTGCGAGAAAGGAACAACTCAGTCACTCGGACGGAGACGACATGCCGACGAACTCGATCATTCTAGCCTTGCCGAAGGCATTCGAGCGTGTGCGAACGGAGGTTGCCGCGGAAGATTCAGTGAAGTTCGTGGTGTACAACCACCTTGACGACATGGCGGATCAATTGAACAAAATACCGATTAGCGCCGCCATGTTATGGGTTTGGCCGGAGAAAATGCCGCGGTCGGACCAGATGAGAAGGAGCATGCAGGCCGTCGAGAGACATTTGCAGTGCGGAGGAACGCTAGACTGCTTCCCGCCACCTTTCGAGAAAATGCGCAGGGACGAGTGGGAGGAACTCCGGAAAGTCTGCATTGAAGTCGTGCGAATGTTGACCGGGCCGGCCAGGGGGTTTGACGCCAAGGTAATAGACCACTACGGACCACTAGAAGATGCAGTCCCGAAGCTCCACCCGGCCACTTGTCTGGGAGTAAGCCCCCGGAAAGGAGAAGATAAGTTGCACGGTTGGCAGATTTTAATCTTCCTGGAGCAGCTGCGAGAAGCAGCCTCGAATACGCTACGACTGCCGACATTCCACCTACGGGAGAAGAAGAAGAAAGAGGCGAGCAATCTAGCAGAAACTGAGGGAGAGCCCGACGCAAAACGGAGGAGGATGAAGAAACCGGAAATCATGTACTTGCGAGACCCCACAGCAAAATGGATGGAGCAAGCCGCAAATATGAAGCAGCGCGGACGGTATCACGGGCAAGTCCCCGGAGGTGACTATTCGAGGAGGGGCGTGTGAAGAAGAGATACTCGATGTTATCAGTTTATCAATGATAGTATGACGTGTTGTAAAATGTGTTGATGGTTTCATTTCTTGAGTTTGTTTCACTTTTTGCCCTTTGGACATCGCCAGCGGCTCGTCTTCAATTGTACGTACTCTTCGTGGCCAATAAACCTATCTACGACGCACGTGCCCCACATCACCTACAGGAGAGAAGACACAACACCAGAACTTTCGAGCCAACCTAATAGTTCAGGTTAGGGCCTCAGTCAAGGTACATAAAGCTTTTCAAAATATTCATCAGTTTCTGATCAACGAAAATGCTGCGAATATTCGAAACTTGAAAAAATTGAGGCTTACTTGAAAGAGTCAAAGGAGATGGGAGAATGTCGGAGAGATAAGAAACAGTTTGGGTATGTGAGGATCTTGACTGAGGTGATTGAAATTTTTTTTGAGTTGATTTCAATATATTAGGTCGGCGCAAAAGTTTTGTCAGTTTTTTTCAATCCATCGGCAAAAACGCTAGAATGAAGATAAACAAACAATTCAAAATGTATCCAATGCAGAATTTTTTTCATTTTTCCAGCTGCCAAACTTGCGCTGTGTTTCGTTAAGAGAGTGATGAGATATTCGCTTAAGCTTGCAACCATTCGCTTTCACGATGTCCAAATTTCATAAATTTTCAAAATTTTTATATGAGACTTTCGAAGGAGCCCTAATAACCACCAGATAGAGCAAACCTTTTGCCAACTTATGCATTTTTTTTTCTTCTTCAGCTGGTTTTTCAGATTTTTTATAAATGATTTTCTAAAAGTCTTGTGTTTTGGAAAAATCGCGTAAGCTGTTATTGCACCAAACACTGCAAAACCTACAAAATACTGAGATTTCAACACTCGATTATTACTACCGCTACCATTTCAAAGTAGATGAACGATTTTCGCTTCAAATTATGAAGATTTTGAAACATAGGTTACGTCAGTGAGCACTCCTGAAATTGAGAAATACTGCGGTTTTTCCTACAAAATTCGCCCGCGAGCAAAAAAAAGACAAGTGCTAAAAGGAAGAGGAAAAGTTGCATTGAACGGTAAGTGAAGTGTTTAACATTTTATGCTCTACGAGGTTAAAATAGGCTCAATGTAAAATTTGGTCAATTCAAAAAATAAAACGTAGAAATTTTGAAAGACAAATCGTAGGGCTACAAAAAATTGCTTCTGTTGGCAAAAGGTTTGCCCTATCTGCCGGTTATTAGGGCTTCCTTGAATGTCTTATACAAAAATTTTGAAAATTAGCGAAAGTTGGACATGGTAAAAACAAGTGTAGTAATTTCCAGCAAATATCTCGTCACTCTCGCAATGAAACACAATGGGAGCTTAGCAGCTAAAAGGGGAGGAAATTCTGCATTGGACGCATTTTGATGCGTTTGTTTATTTTCATTCTAGCGTGTTTGACGATGGATTGAAAAAACTGACAAAACTTTTGCACCGACCTACTAGGTTGTTGAATAAGCGGACTTTCTTTATGATTGCGAAAGGTAAGCGTAGATGTTATGGTAGCTAGGAACAACTGTTAGAAAGTATGTTCCAGTGAGCAAAACCATAAATAGTGTTTTTGTGTTTTGGTTTGCATTTGCACACTTACGATTTTGTATATTCAACAATTTGCACCGCCATAAACGGTCAAATCTAAGCATATTATTGCCCCAAAACTGACTTCTACGCGCAGATACCTGAAAATCCTCACAATTTTGGCTGCAGAAATACACAAACAACAGAACATAGCCTCCATTGTGGTTTGCCATATAGCCAATGGTTGTATGTATTCAGCTACCAAAATACTCATTTGTGCATCTATTACGAGTAAAAAACTTGGAAAGTCGAAAAGCAATTTTTTAAAGGCTAGCCATACGAAGTCGTTGTCTTCGATCACCTTTAAGAAGTCTACGTAGCGAGTATGCGATAGTAGCTTGAAGCTACTCTCTCACAAGAAAATTACAGCTAAAGAACAGGTATTTTAGTTTCTATGGAGCTTCGAAGTTGCTGGTCAAAACGAAAAAATGTGTTAGCCAACCTAATATTATATACATCCCGTACGAATGTACATCACTTTGGACCGCAAAGTTCGATTCAACTGGTTTGATGGCTGGAAGACGGGCTTGTGACCTGATTAAGGCTAGATAATGGTCGAGGAGCACGCGTACGGGCGCGAGCGGCCTTTACTAGGTCACAAAGCCCCGCCTTCCAGCCGCCAAGTCAGATGAATCAAAAGTTACTCATCACGAGCACGTTTTGAGTAAACTGGAACTTCCCGAGATTGACGATTTGCGCAATCACTAAAATACGACTCCTGCATTTTGAATCTAACATCTACTTGAGAATCAAAAAGTTGGTTGTTTGAGGTTCCGTAGTGAGGCGGCTATATTGACATGAATAAATTTAAATACCTTGAACAATGTGAATCGTTGCGGAAGAGTGATAATTTCCTGAGAAACCTTAAGCGGATTTGTGAGAATAGTTTTTGGTAAGCATTCAACGTATCTTACGGTAGATATTTTTCCAGTCCAATTGGTTAAGCATTAGGATAGTGTGAAGTTAATGTCTGAGCCTATGCTAGAGGTTTTTGAGTGGAAATATACGAAGCAGGCCATCATTCGATAGAATGAATTAAGCTCTACAAAGTTATCAAAGAGCTACCTAGATCGCTGACGCCGATTCATGTATTGAAGCCAGTCGAGCATTCAAAGAGGCCAAATATCAGATCTCAACGTAGTAAATCTTACGAGCTTTTCAGTTCGCCATTACATAGTAGACATCTATTAGGTTATCCCATAAGTCTTTTCATCCCTTATTTTTCAGCGACATAAATCAGTTTTCCTTGAACTTCGGATAGAATGCTGGAACCCATTCGACAGATCAAAGCAAGCTCTACAAGATGCCTTTCAAAAGTCCGCAACAATTTTCAAGCCAAAATAAAAAAAAACTCCCGAAAAAAACGAAAATCATCATATCTCATTTGAAAACAACTCTGCAAATTTCCCATTTTTTCATGCATATACTATCCTCATCACTTATTTATGCATGCGCTTGCTGCATTTTCCTGATCGCTAGAAAACAAGAAAAAATAATGCGATTAATTTTCAGACTTTGCCTATATCATTGTTCCCCGCAAATGGGTGATTATATAGCTTATTAACTCAGAATTACTCCATAAATTTGCAGCCTATTGGGTGCTCTGCTTCTTAAGAAATGTCTAGTTGAAAGTCCGAATATGAAAGGACTTATGGGACAACCTAATGGTAGCATTCATATATGCTCTAGCTGGAATTTTTCTCCACTGAGAAAAAAAAGATAACCGAAAATTGGCAGACTCGGCCCCGCCTCCGCTCCTTCCTTGAATTTGTGTATTGTGGACTGAAGGTTTCGAAAGCAATGCTGAAAAAATTTCAGCCTGATATCTGCTTTGGTTTTTAGGAAAAGCCACTTTCGAAAGAACCCATAGGCTAGTAAATTATGTTTACATCAACCTAATCCTACCTCAGGCAACGTGTGAAATTCTGTGGTATGTGATTTAATTTCTACTAGACTACTTCCACTTTTTCAAGTCTCCTTACATCCTATTGGATTAGCTAAGTGCAAAAAATCTTTGAAAAGAGTTTCCAGCGAGCTTTGGTCATTTCCATCTGCTGAGTTCAGAGGAATAAAGTTCAACAGATTTTGAACGAATCTAAGGCGCAATAATTGATGCAAAGAATGACGGAAAGTTGAAAGTCACATTTTGCTTCGGCAGCAAATGGAGAAAAAGGGCTGTTGAGCAGTCTTATTGCTTCCCTTCCTCACATGCATTCTGTACAAAAAGTTACTTTTCTCTAATTGCTGGAAGCGACGTCAAACCCCACTATTGTTCATCACTTGAGTTGTGTGCCAAACACAAATTCCGTCACTTGAAGGACGCCTTGCTGTCTCATCGCCGGCTCCCTCTATCCTAGAGGGAAAACGTTGGGCCTGCAAGTTAATGTACGGATCCTCAGAGAAGCATGAGCAAGCTAAGCCTTACCGCTCGCTCTTTCCAACCTGCTTTCAGGGAGAGGGTCCGTGCTCCGGGCGCGGTGGTTGGAGGAGAGTTCCCCAACTGACGCTCCACAGACTTCCTGCTGTAATCGCAGGAAGTCCCACAGTGGTACGACCACAGCCCTCCCTGCCAATTTTTGGAAAGACTCGAAAGAGTCGACAATAGTGCTACGATTACAAGTAAAAGTAGTCAGTCAAGTTTCGAAGAACCAGTTTTAAGAAGAAAGTAAACACGGGCAATCTGTCATTGTTGCTGATTGGATTTTTGGAAGGAGGAGGGGGAGGGTTGGAGTGCCTTTGAAAGATATGATTCCGACAACATGTACTAGATGAGCAAAAGAAGTTTCCGAGACTTTTGGAAATTCCATTTTTTTATCTTATTATTATTCGCAAAAGATTATTCGCAACCAGCCGATTTCGACTAATTTCTAAGACTTTTTATAGATAAAACTCAAGCTATTTATGCCATTCGTGGATTCTTATGGATGTCTCGCACAGAGCAAAGAAAATCGTCAGAATTTTTTATAATCTAGATGAGAAGCCTCTCGGCTTCCAAACCCGAGGTGATCAAAAATCTCCTCATTTGTGCAAGAAAAGAAAAGTTCAATGCCGTTTATCCCGAGGATGGGACATTTTCCAGATGCAAAAAATTGGCCTTTTCTAATTTTTTTGTTTTTTTTACAAGTGACGTCCTAAGTTGTCACTTGTACTTATAACAGCTCGGTTGATTTCTGTACGAGAACGATATATGAGCTGCAGCGCTCATTATGTCTGTTAATTGTGCACAACATGCAGTTTTCAAATCATTTTTCCCTGCTGCTCATGCTGGTGATCAGAAATAAAGTAGTGTAAAAATTAAGCGACATTGCCTTTGTAACAAAACTTGCATTGCCCAAAAAGGATATTGCTAAAAGTTACAGCATTTTGGGAAATTCTGGAAGCGCCCAGAAACCTTCTTTATCAGTATTATCAGCCTTTGCTTACAAAAAAGTGTGCAAAATGTTGTTCTGTATTTCACTACACTGCCAATAAAGATGAGTTTTGGTAGGTTCGCCATGCCTGCTGAACTTTAGTCATTGAATAGGAATGACCAAAATATCTGAGACATGATCTGCAAGAAGATTCATAGCATCTTGTAGTCATACTGAACAACTTTAAGGGTTATGTTCATAAACGTTTCCTTTTCCTGACTTCGCAAGATTGAATACAGAAGTAATTTACAAGATTTTTGAATTCATATTACTTACGTCTTACAACACTCAGTGCGTATGATTGTTGGTCTTGGTTGTGCCAGGAACGGAGAAACAAAGTTGGCCTCTACGATTCAAGTTCGTATTAGAACCCTTAGTGCCTTTCAGAGTTTCACACAACAAGAATAATCTTGACTAAGCATTTAAAAATTTTGCGATGGAGATTCTTCGAATGTACCAAGTGCCCTTTCAAGTAGGTCCGAAATCAATCAGTTGTAGCCGTTCGAAAATGTGCGGAGTTCATTGTTGTATCCAAGTCTGAATAGAGTCACTGAGTTGAGTAAATTTTAGCTTGAATCATTCACGTTCTCTTAAAAGGGTTTCAGTAAGTTTGGATTTATCTTTTATAAGAGATTGCATCAATATCAAACTCTTATTAGGAAAATCACGATCCTACAGCTGTGACATCTTTTAAACTTTTCGCTTTGAAAAAAGGGCTCTTTCACGCTACTTAACCCAAAAACTAAAAAACATAATTTTGTCAGTATTCGCGCGGGAAGATTTTGGAGATATTTTTGAGTTTACAGTAATGTGTGCCAAATTCACACACTTGCTCAAATCTAGCTAGAATGGTACACCGGCATGCTAATTACGACTTTAATTTAAAAAAATACTTTCCTCTTGACCAAGATGATTGAAATCATATCCTTTGATTCAACGGGATTGGAGGCTGGAAAGCGACCGCAAGCAGCCGCGTAGCAGTCTGCGTCTCTCTCGCTCGCGTGCTCTCTGCATTCTCTAGCCTTGATTAGGTCTCGAAGCCCCGCCTTCCAGCCGCCAATCCCGTTGAATCAAAAGGTACACTTAAGAATGCATATACCAACGCCTTCGCAAAAAGGTCTATTCTACGCGCTACCGTTGACGTAGACAGGATGCTGGAGAATTCCATTAAACAAAATTGAAACAGATTCAATAAGCAGATGTGGGATTTTTGAACGCTTATCGTATTACCATAAATAGAAAATGGAGCTCAGTAATCATTATTAAGCATACGATGAGCGCGCCAAGGAACCCTTCTGAGGAAAGCTTTCACAAGATACCTGGTTCACAGCCTTTAGGTCAACTAATGTGATGGCGTCGAAAGAGCTGTTGGGAGTACAGTATGGGCACACTTATACGTGTATATATTTGCCTTTCCTCTCACATGATGTAAGTGTTCGTTCAAACATACCTCACGCGATTTCAGTCTTCATGCGATTTGGCAATTTGCCAGATCCAAATTCAATACTGGTAAATCTCAAAGGCATAGCACATTTAATTTTCGTATGCTGATAAAACACCCTATCTTCCGTACTATGACTAATTGGAATGTTGCCAATTCGCGTCAGGAAATCGCGTATGCTTTCATCCTTAGTGCGAACATCGGGCGACAAAAGTGCATCTCCCGTTAAAGGCAAGTTCTCTGCACTCTACAAATCAGAGAACTTTCAGTTTGCTTGCGAGAGAATGTACGATGCTTGAAGAGAGTGCTGCTCAAAATGCAGAAGGCACGCCGGTCTTCGCCAGTCGCTTCCAGGGAATGGAGAGGGGCGGCGCACGGTCGGGGACCTACCAGCCCGGGCCACGTAGTGGCAGAAAAAAAGTCCCACAAATCTTCATGAAACGTCCACTTGGCCCGGGAGGGCCATGACTCCTCCCTGCCAATTTTTGCAAAAGGACTCGAAAGAGTCGACAAGTTATCATGATGCTATAGTCATGTGCGTAGAAGAATCTTATCCACATTTTTTTGAGCTAATAGAATTTACTTCACTGACTACGTGTTCAAATTTTGAGCTGTATTGTATGTCAACTTCTTGGCTCTGATGCCACACATCAAATAAATATTTGACATCGTGGCTAAAAAGCGCAATTAAATTTAGCATTTCAGTTTCATAAGCCACACTAATCAGCGACATAAAATGAAGGCCCCTCGTAAGAAGTGCTTGAGTCTCATCGGGAAAAAAGCGGTCCTCCTTCTTTTCTTCAGAACAGATATCTGGTATTGATTGACTCAAGATCTGAAGTATTTCCATTGCATTTATTCGATCGTACATTTCTCAAAGACACACCCTTCACTAGTTGAGCTTTGCAGGACTTTTTGTCTATCTAGAATGCAGTGGATGTCCCAGGATTTCCGACCAGGGGGGGGGGGGGAGCGGGGCAAAAATTTTTCTCGTATGAAGTTGCGTGGCGCTAGCCACGCACTCCGAAAAAATTTTTGGTATGCTTAACATTTTTGCGGGCCCCTGACCCCGAAATTTCCGCCCCCGAAAAAAATTTTTTACGAGGCTAATCTGCATTTTCAAAAAATTTCAAAAATTCTTTTAACTATTTACAAAAATAAAAGTCACTTGCACATTTTTATAACCCATGTAAGTAAATTTCAGAAATTTCGCGACTTATTCTCAGGAAGGGGGGGGGGGGCGCCACTGCTAGAAGGGTCTCTCCAAGAAGAAAACACTGAGCTGCGCAAAATGTGAAAAAAATCACGAAATTACTACCATACTGACGCGCATTTTTAGCCGATTCCCTACGTCTTAACAATTCTTGGCCCGGCAAAAAGCTTCTTGTTCTGCAAGAGTGTTTGCCCTTGCGCTGCCTCCGCTTGAGAGAGAAAGCGGGCAATTCGCAAGCCATTATACGGAGTTGGAGAGAGGGCAGCACATAGCATTCAAACATCGGCTGGAGTTCGTCACCGCCGGGGATGCGTCAGTGGTGAGGAACGGACTCTGGTCGCAAGACCTTGTGCTGCCGCGCAGCGTTGGATGCAGCACCGCCTGTACCATATTTCGCTCCTGCGCAAGCGAAAACGGCCATCAGTGCTGTGGAATGGAAGAATCCGACCCACAGTATCGGCCTGACTGGCTGAGCCACGTCCCTGCCAATTTTTGAAAAGACTCGAAAGAGTCGACAAGCACACTGTAGTTATTTCGTGCTACTACATGCATCCCGTACGAAGCTGCACTTCGCGTTTAGAACGCAAAGTCGGCATACATTACGAGGACTTTTTGTTATATTGAGACTTTACAAAATTGAGGACAGGCTCAGCCATCAAAATGCAAGTTTTTTAAAGTCAAATCTAACTTTCTTGACCATCAAATTGTTGGCCTTGTTAAATACCAATGCGAATAAGCAGCTAGTTAACGTTAAAGAAGCTGGCTTGTCTTAAACAATGCAAAATCGTTGCGAATAATAATTTTTTGAAGATCCATTGAGCGGATACGTGAGAGTAATTTTTGGTCGGCGTTCGACGAACCTTAGATAGATATTTTTCTAGTTAAACTGGCCAGGTACATACCTTATCCTCAAGGGCAAAATGCGAGATTTCATGGTGAATATTCAAGTCCCACTAGACTAGCTCCACTTTCTTCAATCTCTAAGGGCGAAAAATCTCAAGAATTTTTATCTTCCAAGCTCGGAAATACGAAGTTTGACATACTGTGAACGAATTTCACCAGCAAAAGTTAGTTGATGAAAAGACTGACGAAAGTGGAAGGTCAGTTTTTGCTTTGACATTTACAAGATGGCGAAGAAAGACTATTGAGAAGACTTGCTGTTTCTCTCTTTTCACAACCATTCTGTACAAAAAAGCGTTTTTTTGTACTGCTGAAAGAGCAGAACGATAAGCGATTCAATCCCCACTACATACATCGCTTCAGTTTGAGTCGTCGAATTAAATTGTCTGAGGTACGCCTGGCTGTCTCTCATCGCCAGCTCTCTCTACCCTAGAGGGAGAACGTTGGGCTTGCAAGTTAATATACGGGTCCTCAGAGAAGCTTGAGCAAGCTGGGTCAATGCTGCTAGGTCTCTCCAACCTGTTTCAGGGATGGGGTCAGTGCTGCTGGCGCGGTGGTTGGAGGTGAGTTCCCCAACCTACGCTCCACAGACCTCCTGTTGTAATACCAGGAGGTCCGCCACAGTGGGTAGACCCACACCCTCCCTGCCAATTTCTGGAATGACTCGAAAGAGTCGAAATTACGAGCATTAGAACATGAAGAAGTCTATTTACCGCTATAAGGAAGTAAATTTTGATGAAAAGGTGAGGATCTTTCATTGTTGAAGTTTATAATTGTTTTTTCAGGGGCTGAGAATCATTGCTGGTCGCCTGTAATCGCTTCTATGGCTAATCCAGCATTAATACATATGTCTAGGTTTTTTAGCTCATAAAACAAAGTGTCGGTCGATTTTATTCCGAAATTATTGAGTTCAAGGCAAGGAAACCTTCAGTAATCTCAAAGTTCTTGTTTATAAGCTGTTTTTTTTGCCCAGACCTCGCAGGCGAAGACAAAAACTATTAAACTGCGAGCATTTTTAACTTCGCCTCAATTCTAGACGGTTTTATCTTAAACCGAGATGGTCATTTTTAGCTGCTCGTGGAGCGGTTACATTTTGACATTCCTCCTCCCTTTTATCCTTGGAAATGTATTCTATGAGCTTGGCAATGAGTTAGTCTGCGTAAGAAAATAAGATTGCACAAAAGATTTATTGGATTCATGCCAAGATCAGCTCATGAGCTTTTGCAGGCGCTCCTGTGAGATACCGTACCAGTACTGATTTGACTGATGATATTGCGTTTCGTCATTAGGGCCTATTGTTTCTTTGACGAAAATCTCTGGTGCAAAGTGTCGATTAAAAGCCTAAAAACTTCTTCTAAGAAACTGAACTGTTAGAGGGCAATATGAAGCACATACTTGAAATACCATTGCCGTGTTAATATCATATACTCCAGACTTCAGTATCAAAGACTTGTATCCAAGTCTGAAAAAATCATTTTGAAATCCTATTGGGAATATTTTGAGAAGAAAAGAAACTTGAAAAGTCGCGAAGTCAAAAGAAATTTGAAAAATGCTAATATTCCTGCTTTATCTTCCACTATGGACAATGTGGTTTCATAGACATGGGGGGGGGGGAAATTTTTCAAATGAAGGAACAGGCTAAGTCTATCAGTTAGAGAATATTGTATTTTATTAGGATCTCCCATAATTTTTTCCAATTCTGTCTTTTTACCGCAACAAGTTACATTCTTCTCGATTTTGATTAGATTGCAGGGTACCACTCGATAGAGCAAAGCAAGCTCTATAAGATGACTTGTGATGTCCGCACCAGCTCCCGGAATCTGAGAAATTTCGGATGCTCGAAAGATTGAAATTTTCTCAAATATGTCTGTCCAAAGAAAACTTACCAGGTACCAAACTTGCTCATGCATATACACTCCCCATAAGACCTTCATATGTGCCGCTGCTGTGTTTGCTTCTATGCTAGAAACGGAGAAAACTAAACTTTTCAAGTTTTCAAAAAAGCGATGCGCATGGTTTTCACATAGGTAAATGTATACTACATGCCTCCAGAAGTACATCGGTGAATTTTCAGCCTCTTGGAAGCTCTAGTTTTAAGAAAAACCGAATTGCTTTTTTTGCTAGGTTATTCTATGTTGATCAATATTTTTCGGGAACTACAGCTTATAGAAAACTGAAAATCTGTACTCGTACTTTCAAAGTCTTATAGTTATATATTTATTCAATATTTATATTTATGCAAATTCTTACTATACATTTGCCTACATGAGAATAGCGCGACATCGGTTTTTAGACAGCTTGAAAATTTTAGTTTTCCCGGTTTTTAGCACAGAAGCAAACACAGCAACAGCATATACGAATATCTTACGTGGAGTGATATGTGTGAGCAAGTTTAGGATCTGCTATGTTGCCTATGGACAGAGAAAGGAGAATTTTCGAATTTTTGGGCATCCGATAATTCTCAGATCTAGGCTTCTAGCTCGCGAGCTTCGAGCTCGGTTCCCTGCATTTTGATTAGAATTGAGAAATGTGTGACTCACTACGATAAAAATACAAAATTGAAAAACTTATGAGAAAACCTAATAAATAGATTCATGAAAAATTCCGAGGAGATAAAGTTTTTGGCTCAGCGTTACGCATTAAAAAATCATCCTGATAACTTAGATCTCTGGGTTATCATCAAGCTTGATAAAATGCCATAATAACCATCGCAAGTCCTTAAAAAACTCTAGCGCGTTGTACGCTAGACTTTCTACCTGCTCCCTCACCTTTTCTGCAACCGTGAATTTTCGAAAGTGATAGCTAAAGTTTGACTTACTCCATTAGATCATTTTGAATTTGCTCCAATCGTGCGGCTGTGTAGGTAACATTCTTGCCAATAATGACACCATGTTGCCTTGAGTGACTCATGGAAGTGTTGAATAGTCCGGGATACATAGAGTCCTTTTCGTATAGAGTTGACCACGGGAAATATCCGCTTGGATCGTCTTTCCTTTCGGGTCTAAAAAATCATAAGCACATGACATGTACATGAGTTGAAGGTTTGAGAGCTAATTACTTCATTTTAAAATTGAATTGTGGGACTTACGCGATGTCGGCATGAGCAATAATGTAATTTGGATGAACATGCCAACGATGTTTCAACATAGCTACCAGTGAACTCACAGCAGTTATCTAAAATCATATTTTATTTTTTATATGATCGGTCACCCTTCCAGCAAACTTATTATTAGCATACCAAAGTGTAAAAATAGTATCAAACCAATTCTCAGCTTTTTATGCGTCAAATAAGTATCTCTTGTCTGTATGTATAGGCGATTCATCGCATGCAGAGACAGGACGCCATTGCGGACGCTGTCGGCGTCTCTCTAATCGAACGCACTCTCGTCCTTCATACCGTCTGCTGTCCCTTTCAAACCAGAACTATCTTGGTTCGGAGCAACAATGTCTAGGCTTCGCGCGTGACAAATCGCCTATAAGCTTCTTCCATTGGTTTGCCATTGCTTTAACAAAAACTGAAGGAGAACGACCCATACCTTAGAGGCCTTGTCCCGGCAAGATTTCATTTTTCAACTTTTCACTTTTCCGGAATTTTCTCGCGGAATCCATATCTGGGTTTCAACTCATAAAAATGCTATTTCCGAAGCTTTTAAGGGTACAAGTGGACGGGGCCCGAATGAGGGAGGAGGGGCGCGAAGGCTTCCGGCGTATCTTCAATGAATGCGGACCTGGAAAGCTTCGGAAAAAGTTCTTTTCGGCATTTTCATAGGCTAAAGAGCCCAGATATAGATTCCCCATGGCGAGAAGCTTCCGAAAAGGGGAAAATCTAGACAACATTCTGCCAAGACACTGCCTTTGACATTGCTTAGAATAGAATTTACATAGAATGAAGAAGATAAGAATAAGTTAATTTCTGTAGCTTTGAAAATCACCTGTTCTTGTGGGTAAGGTTCATCTCCTGTGTTGACAATTTCAATTCCGACGCTATAGCTGTTCACATCGGTGACCTCTCGCCATACTCCCGTACCAGCATGCCAAGCGCGATAAAAATCGCGAACTTGTTGGTAAACTGTTCCTTTTTTCGAAACTGAAGTAACCTTATTTGGTTATCATTCAAAATTGAGCTAAAAAACTGACCTATGTACTGAACGGAAAGTCCTCTTGAGTTCAAAGCACTGAGAGTATCATCGAATGACTTTGTAGCAGTATGATGTATTAAGATGATTTTTGGCATAGTACAAGTAGTGCCATATTTGGTGGTGGTATTTGTAATATCCACGGTGTTGAAACTCGTAGGATTTTGATACTGAAACAAGTGCTAATGTGTGCAAAAAACAATTACTTGTATAATTGTAAAGTATTCTAAACAAAAAATTTATCCTAAGATGCAGTATTCTAGAGTCGTTAGAGAATGACTGTAGTAAAGTCGAATTTATCCTTCTCAATCCCTGTTGTATTTCAAAATAAGAAGTTAGGGTGGTTCAGGAAATGAAGTTGATTGGCTACCACATTTCTAAAAATTCAGTTTATTTCAAGAATCTGTAACTTTTACTGAACGAATCCAGTGAAAATAGTCCATAAACGCTAACGATGCAAATTTCTCCATTTCATATCACATGCATTTCTCACCTTCGAATTTGTAAGCATTATAAGCATTATTAGCATTATACATTAGCATTATGTCCCGAAAGTTTTGTCCGTTTTTTCGACCTATCATAAAAACGCGTGGAACGAAGATAGGGAAACGCTCTAAGCACTACCCGAAGCATTTTTTTCTCCTCTTTTTAACTGCCAAGCCAACATGCCGATTACTCTTTTGCTCACTGAGATAAACGCCGAAATTTTGAACCCATGGTTTTTACTATGTCCAAGTTTGACAATTTTTCACAATCTTCATTTCAAACTTTTGGAAGACCTTTGATAGCCCTCAGACAGAGTAAGCAAAGGGCAATGCAATGCATTTATTTTGCATATCTAGCTGGCTTTTCAATATTTTTAAAGATAATTTTTTCAAAAGTCTTCAATTTTGCGAAGTTCTAAAATACAGAAACGCCTCGAACACTAACAAATCATTGAATTTTGAAGCTTTCAAAAATCGACTACGATTATTTACTATTATTACGAAGCAAATGAGCGTTTACCGCTTCGAAATATAAGATTTTGCATTTTACGTTACACGCTGGGTTGAGGTCAAATTCAAGAACCATAAAAATTTTATCGCCAAAGACCCCGCAAAATGGAGAAAAAATACACTCACCGGAAAGAGGAGGAAAAGCTGCATCGAATAACACCTTAGTTGTGCGCCGTTTCATGATCTCTGGCTTTTGGCATCACCAAAAGTGGAATTTGATAGCATCAGAAAAATAATTCTAAAAAATTTTCAAGGCTGGCTATAGATGCAAAATTGCATTATATTGCCCTTTGTTTGCTCTGTCTGAATGTTGCCAAAGCTTTTGCTAAAGTCAAAAATAAAAATTGTGAAAAAGTGCCAAACTTGGACATAGTAAAAAACCATGGGTCCGAAATTTCGGCGTTTATCTCAGTGAACAAAAGATTAATCGGCATGGAAGCATGACAATTAGAAAGAGAAGGAAAAGATGCGCCGGATAGTGCTTAGAGCGTTTCCCTATCTTCGTTCCACGCGTTTTTATGATAGGTTGAAAAAACGGACAAAACTTTCGGGACAACCTAATATATTCAGTTGCGATGCTCACTGGGGGAGCTTTTGAATTGCTCTTACCATCAACTGGATATAAATTAAGTTTCTCTCGATAAGACATAACGATAAGACGGTTATAAATTGGAAACGAATGTAAGGAAATGCTGATATTTAAGCTTGCCTGTAACGGGCACATTCCAGTATCTGCACATGTCGAATGAGAGCTTGGTGGTTTTGCCATATTAGCATCTCCGTAGTACTTTATCCAGTGGCAGCTGTACCGAACACTTTTAATTGACTGATCAAGTTTTGTGTAATATCTTTGTTCATACTTCAACTCATTGGTGTACACAGAACGATCAGTAGAAGAGAACGATGACGCAGCTTTGAGCGCTCGCTCTTTCGTTTGTTGCTCACTCTCTAAATGTAAAAAGAAATTAAATTTTCTCTGATATAAGTATAAAGGACCATTCAAGGTCCTTTATTTTTCTCCAAACTCATAGTTATCCGTCACTCTAACTTCAAAACATAATTCAGTAATTTTGTGAAGTCTCACCACTTCCTTCCTTTTTCGAGGATGCAACAATTTTCAAACACAGCGAGCATCTGTCCTGGAAAAATCATGACCACTATCGAGAATAAAGGACCAAATTTGGTAAATTACCTCAGCCGCAGACAATTCTAGAACCAAAAACAGAAAAATGCACAAACGCTGCATTGCAAGCAAAGTGACGTCCACGTTATCAGACCCATAAGGCACTGGTTGTAAAAATTTTACCTATCTCAACTACCGTGTGCTTTCGTCATATCGACTAAGCACCGAAAGGAAGATCTTCGGTTATTCTAATTTGACGCAGCACTTTTATTGAAGCCACTTGCTAATGTCTACATGGCTGTACCAGTGGCGGTCCGAGAAATTTTTTTCGGGGGGGGGGGGGGGGGGGGGGCGACAAAAATTTTTTTCTAAAGAAGGTGAGTGGCGTTAGCCACGCACTCCGAAAAAATTTTTGCGGCTCTCTGACCCCTAAAGTCTGAAAAAAGGGGGCGTGGCGTCAGCCACGCTTCCGAAAAAATTTTTTGTAAGGCTAAAATGAATTTTTAAAAAATTTTAAAAAATATTTTAATTATTTTCAAGTGCAAACAAGTCGTTTGCACATTTTTACAACCCATATAGATAATTTTCAAAAATTTCGCGACCCATTCTCGGGGGGGGGGCGCCCCCCCCCCCCCGCCCCCCCCCCTCCCTCGGTCCGCCACAGGGCTATACATATAATATATGTTTTTCACATTACGACAGAAGTCAATCCATGCGTCAATATTACTAGAATCACACTGAGCATGAATTAATTTTCTCAACATACTCAAAGCCCAAAAAAATTTTGAGCGCTCATATTTGTTAGTTCCAGCGAAAGCAAGATTCATAACTCTGCAATCAACTTATTTCGCAGCTTTTGAAGTTTTAGATTGCCTAATTTAATTTGCTTTGGACGACACATATCTTCTGCAGGAGGACGATACTGGCGTTTGCCTGGAAAATTTAGTCCATAAGCCTTGCACGGAAGTTTTCGAAAATTATAATTTCTTCTACAAAATCTATTTCATACCATCTAGCTTATGAAAAGAAGTTCGTGTTATTCCTAGAGAAAAATGTTAAAGGCTAAATTATCTAATTTCAGTTCCAGTTATGGCTTTACGACTTGCTTTACTGGTTGTGCAAGGCACGTGGACTACCCTAATACTACGGCGTAAAATCAAATTATAGGATTCAGGAAAAAACATCGAAATTGGCGAGCTTTCTTATTTGAAAAAATTGAAGAGTCCTAGCAATGTAATGCGGGCATCACTTACAAAACAGGGAAAAGAAGGATTCGCTCTCTTGCCCTGAAATCTTGAAAAGTAGGACTTTATTCAAAAATGCCGAATTCCTGCTATCCCCTAAAAATTGCTGAGATTTTAACAGATGAATCCTTGGTTGCTTATTGATAATGCTAATGAAGGATAAGGAATCGAATTGTTTTGAAAGATTATGCAAGTACGAGGTTGAAATTCGCCAGGAATGCCCTGTCACGCACTCAATGGACAGTCAGGGGGAATTGAGAGACAGAGATAAAAGAAGAGAATGAGAATTAAATTTTTTATGTACACTTCAGCACAATGATAGAAATGCAGATTCACTCGAAAGCATAACACTAATATTTTCTTTATTAAGTGAATATATTATAAAAGATTAGGACTCAATAAAGAAGCCTCCATTGATACTGTTCCGCTTCTTTTCTTCACATGTCGCGAAGTAAATCCTTTGCAGTAAGCCTAAAAATTATAACTCGCTTAAATCTAATAAGAAAAAATTGTAAAAAGAAAAGATAGGCTTTACGAACATTAAAATGATAAATCAGATCCAGATTTTTGAGAAAAAAACGCTGCCTTTTCTCAGAACCAAGGCCAAATCTATCGTACAATATCAAAAGATATGATAGAATTACTCACCGCCAATTCATCATAGAGTTCTATGGCGCAATATCCGGTCATACCAAGTATCAGAAGGCAAAAAGCAAAAAGTAAAATCAGCTCTACTGAAAATAATCGGGTCATCGCAAAGCCTAACGCCAGGCCTATGGATTCCCAGAAACGATAGTTGGTAAATGCTAGATGGAGAGACTGCCGACCAACCAGAGCTACCCAGTACCCTAAAATAGATCAAAAACAAATTCTCAAACCTATTTCGTTTTCCAAATATCTGAAAACTACTGAACGATTCCGATACCGTTAATCTGCGTGTTCCAAACCGCGTCAGCCATTCCCCATACGCTACCAGACACATAGAGAATAGCTTTGTCTGCTGGGTTCAATGGCCAGATCTTGAGCAAATTTTTTTGAGATTAACAAGCAAATTAAATCTAATGTGAGCACTTACCATTAGAGTAACAATCATAAGCATGTTATTTACAGCTCCAAAAACAAACAAAGGCATTCGTCCAAAAAGTTTGATCAGTGGGCCAAAGAACAGACTACATATTGCGTCTGACACTCCGAAAGCTGTACAGACAAATCCGATCTGGGATATTCCAAGTCCACAGGCAACGAAGGCCTAAAATTCTATCTTCTTGATTATAAAGAATGCTATGTTCACGTTTGCAGAACACTTTTGATAGTAATCATTTTTCGAAATCCTACAGGGTAAAGGATCGGTAATAATTTCCCGTAAAGATTATAGCAAAGCCGGCCCTACAGTATTCTGAAAATCAGCGAAAGCTGTTCAGACAACCTTGTTATCAACGACCAAACCAAACAATTTTCTGGCACATCCCGTACAGAAAGAAAATTGTTGTTGATTCTGTTGTGATCAATATTTTTTATTTCTACAAGGGTTGTTCTGGAAAGTGAAAGCTTTCGGTTATCATAGATCCTCAATTTGAGCTTTTTCTGCGACTGCACCAATGACACAGCATCCTTCAGCGAAACGCAACTGAGCACAAACCTTGGTAAAAATACCAGCCACAAATGCCTGTTCCACTCCATTGAAGACCGTTAATGGCACCAACAATAGTATCTTTGGATTCTTGAAGTTTGCGAATGTTTGCTTCAGCACATCTGCATCAAAGCGAGGGGCTTTGCTCCTGGAATAATCTACATATTTACAATGTCAAACAGAAGAAACCTTTCACAACCTGTTGACAACGTCTTTGTGAAGAGCATTGAGAAACATTGATACGATCATGACGGCAACGATCGTGCACCCCAGGTATGTGAGGCATACTGTAAAAACTAGGGTTGTTTTTTAAGCATTTTCAAAAATAAGAATTTCAGATTCTATACAACGAACCGAGCATGATTTATCATTTAAGTTCAGTTCATGCTAGGTTCAGATTATCTTGTGACTCCAGAAATTTCAAAAAAATGTGCTGATTAGGTTAGCATGGACATTTTTAATGATGCCAAACCTTGTAAACACAAGGTTAAATTTCAATTGTTTTATAATTATAGTTCTGCACTTTTCAAGCACCTGGCACTTCTCTTAGCTACATTTCAGCCAGAAAACTATTGAATTTTGCAAATAATGCAGTAAGAAAAAACTTCTTAATTATAAATTTGTATTAAGAAAATGATACCTGATAAGTAGACTCGTTGATGAGGTCGTTCCAAATTTTGTGCTGCTAGTGGTGTAAGATCGGAAAGGTTTAAGGGAAAGGCATGGCCACAACTGCAACAAAAATAAACAAAATCAAATAAGTAAATAATAAACAACAAAAATCAGAAAAATGCGAAGAAAATGTTGAAAATGTTTCTGCCAAAATATCAAATCTCACGTTCTGTAAACTTCATCCAGGGGCTTCGGCGTTTTCATTGCTGCGGTCATAATAAATGATGATAACAAGTTACCAAACACTTGTCCACTGTGGACAATCATGAAAAAATAACCAAAGAATCTAAAATTCCAGTCTTTTTTATAAATTTTTGATGCTAACGCAGGAACAGACCTCACGATCACGGTGTTTTGACTTTCAAAATTGAGATTAGCATAACGAATGCCCATTTCTGTGATATAGACACATTTTGCTCCCCAAAGGCTTGATCCTGAAATTTTACGTATGGAAAATGTGCCACCACATGCGGGAAAAAATTCTGACCTGCCATTCCAGTAAGTATGGAAGCAGGTATAAGGGAAGCATAGCTGAAAGCAAACACAAGCCTACCTCTGTACAAGTTGAAAATTTAGGAAAAGAGAAACTGAAATGGTTGAATTACCTGGGACGAATATTCACGGCCATGTAGAATACAAAAATGGCCATTGCAGTTATCAAGGTGAGCTTGCATCCGACTCGATTTATCATATAAGAAGGTACGAATAAGGAAGATACTGCTATAGAAAGATAAAGCACCCTAAAATATAAATGAGCTCTTTAATGTAAAGTCTAAGCAAGCACGCTCATTAGCACGGCCAATTCGCACCTTACAGAGACGGTAATCTCATGCTTTTCCGAATAGGCAAGAGGATATGAGTAAGCTGCTATAGATAAATATAGTACAAAATATGGACAAATCCGGCGAAATATTGGCATACGAGTGCGCTCATGGTAATGGCCCTTTTGCACCGCTACAGTATATTACGGTAATCTCATGCTTTCTGAGTGGGCAAATGAGTATCTGTTTCTCTGAGGTGTCGTACTTCTTATTTGGATTTTCCAAATTGGAAGTCACCGTAGCAATGTCACAAGTCTTTCAGCTGAGAGGGATTAGGGTAGTATACGTTATACTGTAAGAGTCCAAAAGGGCCGCTAATCATCGTTTTTTAGCGTTTTTGAATCAAATTTTCGTACCCAACAAGTCAATAAATTTCGCTTAAATAGATCAAAATAATAGGAAATACATTTTGTTGCATGACGGTTAAAATCAGCTTACGCTAAACTGTCCGCTCCAAGCTCGTTGTTCACCGTTGTTTGTAGATTTGATAGACCATTAAAAGCTGAGAAAAGGAAAAGGAAAGCTACAGAGATGATTAGCAGGTTTGTCTGAAAGTTTCAAGTCTATCAGATCCATGTAAGTGAGATAAATAACGTCAACAGACCTTGATTTTGTGCATAACTTTGTTCACTTTGATTTTTTCGTTTCCACTTAACATTGCACGTTTCTTCTTTCTGATTAATTTTGCTAGGAAATCCTGACTGGAAGAAATGTCATAATGTCTTCGTCCTCTTATGATTATAGATCACTTACTTGTACAAGTAGGAAACTTCTTCGGGATCGTCGCGATCTACACTTGTCATCAGATGCTGCATTGTCATCACATTATGTCTGGCGAAACGTCGACGACTTCCATGGACTGGACAATACGGATCATACTCCGGAATGCGAGTGAGCTGTTGATAAGTTTGAGTTACTAACATAAGGTATCGTTTCATTGAGAAACAGCCGTTTTGTATTACAATATCCACAACAACTTTGATTGAGATGTCTTGACTGGTTTCGCGTGCGTCGATTTTTGGGTAGGAACGAAATCCGCCAGTTTGAGCAGCCTACGCGGACTACTGGTCCTGCGACATGCAACAACTTTGCAAAAGGACCAGTTGCCAGCGAAGGCGGACTCAAACTGGAGGAGTTCGTTCCCCTACCCGCGATTTTTCCCTCCATCTTCATAACTAACCGCAGATGTGCCTCACTGTGGTCCTGCGCGGAAATGCTAGTAGTGTTACAGTCTTGAGATGGACCTGCTCCATTCATTTTCTAGAATGATGAAATCGTAATTACAAAAATGTGTGGAAGGCATTATGTCGCCGATAGATTGCCCTTCCCCCTTCTCCCTGGACATCCACAATCGTGCATATCTCGCCGTACATCCTAGTCACTCGTCCGTCCTAAATGGGAGCCTACCGACAAGGAATGTCCTCTATCCTTCTGATTTGTGCCTTAGTCCATTTATTTCAATGATCTGCATCTTTAGTATTGAGCTAACCTTTGATTCAACTGGCTTGGCTTCTGGAAGTCGGGGCTCTGTGACCTAATTAAGGCCGCTCGCGCCTGCGACAAGTCTGCGTCTCCCTCGCGCGTTTGCTCTGTTGTCATTATCTAGCCTCAACTAGGTCACGAAGCCCTGCATTCCAGGCGCCAAGCCAATTGAATAAATACAGTAGTTAGCGGTGAAAATGTGTATAGTTGCACATCATATATCACAACCAGGGACAGACGCAAATGTTAGATATTATGGTTTCTTCTCTAAAAATGAGTACGCCTGTTTATAGAAATGGTGTTGGTTTCCTAGAATGATAATCAACTGTAAAATAGCATTGCTGTGCAATTGCACTAACTTTACCATTTGTGCCACTACCGACTGCACCACCGCATCGGCACCACCATCGACTGCACAACCACCATCAGCATTACTATCACCATCGAATACACTATCACCAACGATTGTACCATCACCGATTGCATCCAACTGCACTATCATCACATCATGACAAACTGCACCATCACCAATTGCACCTTTAGCAACCGCACCGCCATCGCACTGCATCATCAGCATCTACTTCTCTTCCATCAGCAGCTGCACCACCATCGACTGCACCATTACCATCATCTGCACTATCACCACCAACTTCACCATCACTGCCAGATGCACCATCACTACCAACTCCACCATCACTACCAACTACATAATCACCCCGCACTATCACCAACTGCGCCGGAAATCAAGTGAACCACCGCGACCAGAAATCTGTTTTACCACATTATTTTTTGGATTACCTGACTTACTATAGAATGACAAAAGTGGCTAAAAAGTGCGAAAACTTTCGTCACAAGTATTATTTCAACCATTGAAGAAAAATCGTTAGTTCAAGGTTATTTCGTACCTGATGTCCCTCACTATGTTCTTCTTCAAGCGATGCTCCTCGAAACAAGTAAGCACTGCAAAAATTTTAAATAAAAAAATATACGGCAAGCAGGACGCTTTACTGTGCAAATTCTGTTCTGTACTGAAAACTTTTTGTCATAACTTTTCGGTTATATGTTACCCATAAAAGCGAATTTCTTGCCTTTAGACGCTACGCGAGCTACCACTCCGATATTAATGAAAACAAGACTATGTAGTTAGCGAATTCATAAGTGCGATTCTGTGCCATTGATTGAAGCAACAAATAAACCTTTCTTGAGAAAAAAAATCGGCATGGGGATGTACCGCAGAAAATTTTTACCTACCACTTACCATTTTTCCGGTTTTCTTTCCGCAGAGGGCTCAAAAACCTTGCCAAGGTCTCGGAATGAGAATGGCTTTGGCTCTTGGAAAAACTCTTTTGGCCTAGAATTTTGCAGGTTATTGTCATTTGTCAAGAATTCTCAGAAAGAGCTACGAAATAATTCCAAAACTACCTTTTGCATAATGCATCCAAAGGTACTTCGATGATTTCAGCTGTTCTTAACAGAGGTATTGCCATGTCTTTCCTCCTTGCGATAGCACCAATTCTCTGCAATACATTCATCGAAACTTTCCTCAAGGATTGTAAAGCTGGCGACCTGAAAAAAAATCGTTAACCAGTAAATACGATGATAAATGGTTAGAAATAGAATTTACTTGCTGCGGCTTCTTCTCTGACTTCTATGGCGTTCAGCTTCTTCAGCAATCTCCTCCTTGTCTAAGCCAAGAGCACGAAGCTCGGCATCATCCAGTTTAAGAAGCTCAAATATTCACTCTTTTGGAAAAAAAGGAGAAAATACCCGAATGAAAGGTTATATGAATAGGAAAAAAGTTTTCTGTACTTACATCATCTGCTCGTGAACTAGGTGATGTCGATTTCTTTCTTTCAAAACGTTCAGCAAGCATATCCCAAGCATTAGAGTCGGCCATGTTGCAACGGAACGATTCAGCCTCCTAAATACTTCCTTTAGATGTTTGTCGACAACAACAAATTTGGCTGAAAACTGTAGAACATCTTGACAAGTGCCTAATTCAAAAAGTAAAAGCCGGCTCATATGAGATTTCTCCTGACAGGTAACTTGATTCTCCCTCAATGTCATTACAAGATATGGTATTTTGAAAATAGATTTGAGCAATAAATAAGCATTTAGTGTCTCACAATCAGACTTCCGAGAAAACGTTTGGGGAAGTTTCGCCGGGTGACCTGCGGAAGTTCCGTGAACATGCTGCGGAAGTTCCCGAATTAGGTCTGCGGAAGTTAGAAGACGAACCACAACAGCAAAAGAGTACGTTCAACCGAGATTTGAACCGCGCTCTATTGACTGCGAGACTCACACACTATCTTCCAGACTACGATTGACATGTTCAACAATGCTTTTTAGTTGTTGGAGAGACAACATTGTGAGAGACAACACACTTAAAGTCCTGCGAAAGTACTGGCATGTCAAAGTGCTGCGGAGCCGCTGGCATTTGCGGCAGTTCCGCAAGGCTTTGTAAAAAGTCCTACGGAAACTTCCGTTTTCAACCAGTCTGACGTGAAAATCCTGCGAAAATTCGCTTTTGCAACGCTTTTCCACTTTGTAGTAGTAAGCAAAATCCTGCGGAACCGCTGCAGATTTTGCTTGTGTTGTGGAAATTCTGGTGAATGTCTGAGGTTTTGGGAGAAAACTTAAGCTAATAAATAGTAGATATTAACTAGACGTTGAAAATTTTAAAGCTTTTACAATTCTTGTTAAGTGATTCAAGTTATAGCACGTTTATTACTTTATACCAACCAGATAAAGCTTATGCCCAGGAATTTAAAAATAAATAAAAATAAATAAGAAAATAAAACGAAATATGATCGAGACATTATTGCTTTGCTTAAGGTTGTGGACAATACTGGTCTTACTATGCTAAGATCTTATGCGGACAAACTTTACACCTCACAAAAAATATTACGAAAACGCACAATACTTGAAAAACATGAAGTTTTTTACAAAAAAAAAATTAGAAACATCAACGAGATGCCCATGGGTAAAAAGCGTCGATATCGCGAAGATACTTGATTCCTTTAATAGCAAAAAAATGACGAAGAAGAAGGCTCGTTTTAATGCAATTTCAAGACCATAATTAAAATTATAATAGTAAAATCAATCATTGGAACGGAAACATAGCAGTGCAAAGCTATTCTTCTTGGATTTCGTAGGATGTCTTGAAACAGCTGCAAACGGCTGCACGCATGTGAGCGCAGTCAAAGTTTAGTGTAAAGCATCGAACAGCTCCAGTGGTCATTTCAGATTGCACTAAATCGCAAAAAATATTTAAGCAAGCTCGAGTTTCTGAACTTTCTTTTTTGCTAAATTCGGGAAAATTCAAGAAGGTGAGGCGTTCAAGCCCATATGCACTCGTTCCTCAAAAATAAACTTTAAAGCAGAATATAAGATTAGGTAAAAATATAGAAAGTCAATAACCCTGAGTGTTAAAGAAAATGTGTTTCTAGAATGCGATATTTTGATCGTAAAAAGATGTTGATGGGCAGGGCCTAGTGGGTCTCACACCTTTTTGAACAGCTCTAAATTTAGTGAGTTCTTCTTGTAAGCATTAATCAATCCTTTCTCCTTCTTCCACTTCATAGCCTTCATTACTTGACTTGATGCATTTACATTTACTATAAGTTCGTGTTTATTTGTATTTTTCTTTGTTAAACGCCTATTTTATGAACTCATATTCATTACGATCTCCTACTCTTTCACACATTCATTCATTCATTCGTTCATTCATTCCTTTCTTTCTTTCTTTTTCATTTTTTAATGCAATCATTCAATCATTGACATTCATGCTCACTCTCATTAATGTTCATCATGTTCACTCTATCACCTCTTAAACTTTTAATTCATTCATTCAGGACATCCATTTGTCCATTCACTTAGCCGTCTCAGCCAATTCCCCAATTTTTTCCTTTATTTTGTTAGGTGTTTGTCATATTTGTGTCAACCCTTAACAACAGTTTAAAGGCAGCGTCCAGGCAAATCTGGAACTATGGGGATTTTACGTGGAAAATGCTTTTGGGGCCCTAACTAAGCCACTGACCAACCGGCAGCTCAGGTAGTGCTCTAACGCCTGAGATAGTCCCCTCGAAACTGGACACCGCGACCGTGTTTCGCATGGATTCATGGCGCAAAGCGTGGATCCTGGCGCGAAACTGCCATGAATCCATGCGAATACGTTCGCGCGGGGCCAGTTTCGAGGGGAATATCTCAGCCATTAGAGCACTACTTAAGCTGCCGCTTGGGCAGTGCCTTAGTTAGGGTCCCAAAAGTACCCAGATCTGCCTGGACGCTGCCTTTAAATTGTTTACTCGCTGGACTGCATCCAGAGTTGTCCGTGCCAGCAGCAGATTAGCGGAACGGCGCTCGCAATCGATCGATAAAGGGCCTTTGCGACGCGGAACTGGCACGGCGCTACACAATGAGCACTAAACGCAGGCCCATATTAACCTCTTCCCAAATTTTTTGTTTATTTGCCGGTTCATTAGACCAAAAACGCATCGCTCAACCTCATTCCATTTATTCGTACTAATCAAGCAATACATCCTGCTCTTTTATTTAAGTTAGGAATCTCTATCTATCCGCGACGGACAATTCAGTCACTAAAATCATCTTGTCTGTGATTATGCTCTCAACTCTTTAGGCCTCGGACAGACTTTACGCGATTTGATCGTCGCGATTCAATCGCCGTGAATTCCATTATTTTCATTTTACATTCAAAAATTTCTGGCTGGAAAAGTATCACAACCGAAATGCAAGCTAATCGGCATGAAATGAACTCGTAACAGCTGTCTTGTCGCGACTGAATCGCGACGATTGAATCGCGTGAACTCTGTCCGAGGCCTTACCCATATCCTCTTTTCATGCTTCCACTTCTTTCTCATCAACAATTTCTCTTTTTACCTCTGCCCCTTCTATTCGCCTTTTTCTTAACCTCTTGTCTCGCGCACTTTATCTTAATTACTCTCCTGTTTCTAACTTACCTACTATACACTTCACCTACAAAACTTGCTTTTTGCATTGCCCAGCCAGGTTCGTGACTCAGTAAGGTGGTATATCTCGCTCTTGATGTTCTCGTAAGTTAATGAAGAGGTTCACGCAAAGCTGTTTCGGAGCCCGAACAGGTTTTATGTACGAGTTTTCTTGTGGCAGTAGCTACCGCTTTATGGCAAGTGAAAACAGCTGATCTTATAACATCCAAAACAGCGAAAGACTGCTATAAAATAGCCGTAAGCAGCATTTGCTGGTTTGATGTGCTATCGCATATCTGGTTCCGAACAGCTTTTCCGATCGTAATTTACAACCTGTGTTAACGATTAATTTTCCTTGTGGAATCATCACCTGAAGCGTATATCGAAAAACGTCTTATCAGATGCTTTCTGCTAATGTGCAAAACCGAATTAGTTTGTAAATGATTTGTGTAAATGCACACAAAAACCTACGTTACGCTTCAATCAAGCAGCGTATACTTGTTTTAACTGCTTCTGATAATTTTTTGTTACCTTTCATTCTTCTCTGAAAATTTGATGAGCTGGAAGAGAGGTTCTAAAATTCACATCAATTTGGTCTTGCGTAAAGAGTGGGGCACAACATGCTGGCTTATTTCGTTAATGAGTGATTTTCAACGCCAGCGACGTTGTTAGAGTTCCTAATCGTGTCATTGCGATCAGAATGATATATAATGTTGCAGAGTCTTGTTAAGATCTCGCTGTTAAGATCTACGACGGGCCAAATGTCCCATCGGCTCCGTCTGTCTCCTTTGCTCGTCTGCGTCTCCGCGCGTCGCGCGCTACCTCGCTACCCCAAATGCGGGGCACGGGGCATTTGGCTATGGTGCCCCTTTCTTCAATGTTTTGGATTTAATTCTAGCAAATTGTACATCATTTTTAAGCTCCTGGCCTCTGCTTTCACGCTAACAAGTCGCAAAAGCCTATTTTTTGATTTGGACGAGAAATCTGGCAAAGTGTTTTCGAAAACTGCTTGTTTTTCTCTCTAGTTGAACACTTTTTCAAACACCTTTTCATGCATTTGGTTGATCTTGCTTCTGCTATAATTTGCATCGTCACACGATTTACTTTTTCGATTTGGCGGTTTTTATGAAAAATCGTTTTTCTTTTCCTCCTTCTCTCTGTGTGTTTTGCAGCAAATTTTTTTTTCTAACTTGGGCGAACTGCTCGGAATAATGGGCGCAACAATCCAGGCAACTCCCAGGAAAAGGAAGGTCAATGGGGTTGAAACTTTAGAGGACGCATCAAAAACTAGATTTGGCCTTGGCGTGCATTTAGTTAGTAATTATTAGGTTGGTGCAAATAATGCTCGTTTTTTTCTGGCCCTTATTTCAAGATAGCTTTTCTCCATCGAAGTTTCTCCTATGAAATTACCAGCATATTGTCAAGAAGCTACTTTCATGCTCCATTCAACGGTTGGTGAAAGAAGCTTTTAGTTTCATTCGTTGAAAAATTATAGAGCTTCATACAACCGCTCTCACCAGAATTTCATTGCACTTATTTTCGGCCAGAACTCAAGCGCGAGTATAACTACTGCATGTAGTAGAAATTTTCTACGTTTTGCATGTTTTATGTTTTCCTAGAAATTACTTAGACTGAGACCACGGCGCCTCAACATGAGTGATGGTTTTGGCCATTTTGTGGCCCATAGATTTCCTCTGAAGAGGGTAATCGCCAAAGTTTTGCTCATTTCTGTAAGGGTAAGGGTGGGCTTCCTGTTGACAGTTTTTGCAGAAATGTGGAAGCTGTGCAGTACACAGAAAATTGAAAATCTCCATATTTTGGGATTTTCAGGGCTACGAAAACATTTCGAAAAAAGCGGACAATTTTGAATATTATTCTTTCCCTTTTCGCAAATATTCTTTATTTGAGCTCTTTTGTACTTTTTTTGTACTGGCTTGCGGCTACAAGACAGTCAACTTATCATTTATACCAACAAATCTTGAACGAAGTTATGATCAGTTAAAAACGAGGTTTCCGCAGAAAAATTTTTCTGCTTATCAATCCATATTTTTCCACCGATTTGTGATGTTAACATAAGTTAATGTGCGCTGTATAGAGAGAGGTTTTATGCCTCTGATGAGATTTGATACTGAAAAATATGGACGCCTCAGAAAGTTATAGCACGTCAAAGTGAGAACTCGCAAAACGCGCATTACTCTTGCACCAACCTAATACATAACTAATTCCTTTCTTGTGGATCTTCTTCCGCCCTATCTCTAGACTATCGAAAATATCATTAATAGGAACAGAAAAATCCATAAACCCACTTTTTTCCATCTGAAGATCATGATTTCCTTAATGAAGTTTGAGCAGCATAGATTTTTCTTGGGTAGGAAACATTCTTTTACTACGTAGCTTGGATCCCCTCTCTCCCTCCATCCCCCGTGGGAGGTTTCAATGTCCTTTGATCGAAAATTATTTGAGTTATGCACAAATTGAAGGTGAGTCAAGTTATGGTTAAGTGCTAACTTTTCCCATTCAAATCCTTTTTTACAGTGCAGAATACGCTAGCCTATTTTTTTTCATTCGAATCCTTTTTTTACAGTGGTAAAAACTTCGATGCAGTGTCTCTCATTTGATCCGGTTCAGCCATATCTGAGACATCTTGCAAACCACTTAAGTCTCGTCAATCATTATTGCGCAAGAAACTCGTCCCAATCAAGACTCTTTAGCAATGAATCACACAATTTTTTCTGTGCATATGCTTATTAGCACTCGACCCGGTTCTGTTTTAGACCCGTTCTTGGCTAAGGCTAAGTGGAACCGCATTTCTGCAATTGCACCTGCAAACTCAGACATTTAAACTCACATGATTTCTATTTTTTGGTGAGCTTAAATGCTAAATTTTCCTAGTTTTTGGAATACCCAGCTCATAAATCATTGCACTCTCTGAAAGCGTTAGATTATTAGCTCACGCTAGCCAGATGATCGCTAATGATCAAGCGATTTGTCAAGATTGAGCGAGAGATAGAGAAATGAAGTGAGAGAATCCATGCAAGCGTTAGAAGTTTTCCGGTTTTTATGATTGCATCGTCGTCTCATATCGTTGCCGAATCCATCTTAGCCGTTGTTGTTCTTGATTCCTCTGAGCTTGGAGCTTTTTTGTTAATTCTCCAGTTACCTCTCTTTCGGAGTTCCAAAGTCCATATTAGAATCTGATGAATTTTTTTGTATGAGTAATTTTTTTCCACCAAGAATGTACATTTCACAGATTTTGACGCATGCTTATTTATCGAAATGTTGTCCACACTGCATGCTTCTTATAAAATTCTCCCTTGTTTTGTACACATAGCGATTGAGCGAACGATTTTAGAGGACAAAGATGGACTTTGCGGATCACTGATGAGATAAAAAAGGCACCGATAATTTAGACTTGAGGGGGAAGAGATTGAATTTAAAACATCCCAGAGAAAGGCTTTTTCGCTTCTATAATGCTGAAGTTGTTGCTAAGAAGTCGACCATAATTCCACACCATTCTTTTTCTTTCTTTTCACCATTTTATTTTCTTTCTTTTTCTGCCACAAGATGAAGTCTTTGCTATAAGCTTTATTGGTGCCAAACCGTCCAATTTTGGACATTCTGAGTACGATGTGATGTATCGTCTAGAAGCAAGGGTAAAAATGTGCGTTGCTTTGACTGTGCTCTTGAGTTTATTGTGAACACAATAGCGTTTCGCGAAGACTTCTGCGAAACAGAGAATACAGAGAATAAATCGAAATCCAAAGAAAGATTTGAAAGTTTCTGTGTGCTCATCTATTCAAAATCAACACTAAATTGTTATCAAGCTCGCCAGTTTATCCTCCACTCATTGTGAAGCTGTTGAAAGCAAGTTCTAGGAAGTTTTAGCTTGCTTTCAGACACTTAACGTTTATATGTACTTCTTATATATAAAGCTGAATGTCTGTTTGTCTGTCTGTCTGTCTGTATGTCTGTCTGTATGTCTGTACGTATGTTCCGAATAGAAAATTCCACTTCTGAACCGATCCGGACCAAACTTGGCACACATACACTTCGGGCCCCGGCGGGTGTCATAGGCTACTTTTCGTCATCGATCGATATCGATTTTATCGATTTTTTGCAAAATTTGAGCTACGGGGCTGGGAGTTGGCACAAGGGGGTAATCGAGCATGCTGATTACGAATATAATAATGACAGGGCCGGGCGGAAGCGAGTAAGTCAACTAGTAAGTCTATAAGTTTTACGCACAACAGGATGTTCAAAGATGCTTTCTCATACAGTCAATCTATCACTTCCTATAGATTCTCTGTGCTTGCTCCTTGACATCTTTGAAGTTAATTTTTTGTATCATTATACCGCCTCAAAGCCTTGTTCCTTGCGCGGTGTGTACAAAAACGGGCCTGCTATCTTTTGTTTTCAAAATCTTCTCTTAAATTCCAGTCAATTATTTAGGCTTTGCAAATGTGCCTACTGCTTTTTGTGAGGAATTTCCTCGAAAAGAGCTAGAGAAAAAGTGGTATAAGATCCACGAAAATATTCTAGAAGTCGTTCCTACAATTTTCATAGTAATTTGCCCTTAGTAGCTTTGGCTTTACAAAACTGATTTTGACACTGACATACTTTTGGGAATAAGTAACTTCGAACTTCCATTTGGACGCGAGAGACGTCAAGCTTTCGCCCACCATGCTCTATAATCCCTCATACTTCCTCCTGCTTGTAGCTGCTACACATCTTTGATTCCAAAGCGCGCATCACAGCGGGTGTTGAAGTCTGATGCAGATCCCGCTGTGGATACTATATCCTGTTGCTTTTGTGCTAGAGCTACCATAAATGATTTGCATCGTTCATCTTATCCGGCTAGTATCCTCCTCCTTCAGTTGTGCGCAGTTCGAATTGAAAAGTTACGGCATTTTCACGCGTTCCCATTATAGTGAGGGTTTCTCTTTTTAATCCGGCAAGCTAATCGTTCCTACTTTCTATTGAGGTCGATTTCAGACTTTGAAAAACGAGAGGATTGTGCCTTCATTTTCTATTGATCTACTGTCTTTTTTTATTCCAAAATCACTGTGTCACAGATTAGAAGAGAGGGGGAGGGGGAGGGCACGAAGTAACTCGTTCTATTCTTCGTACGAACACTAGTACTTCAAAACTGCTTACAGATTTTGAAAAATATGAAAAAAACAAATCAGAATTTTTTCTCGAAATACTATTTTTTTCTCGAAATCCTATGGTCTAGTGATGCCTAGCCTCGTTAAAAAAGAGAGTTATTGAGCAAGCTTTTTTTCATAAATATGAACATGCTATCTGAAATCCTACAATTAGGTTATATGCGCATCTTTGACCCCCTCCTCGATTTCAGTCGCCGCGTAATTCGACAATGATCCAAATGTGCACGATTTACCACATCTCTAGAACTCTATTGAAGGTCGTAAATGAGCCACGATCCATCTAAAATTTTTCACATAAACAATAAAAACAACCTCTCATAACTCCTTTTCCGAGATGTAAATAAGGAAAAACTAGAGATCATCAAATTGTCTTTTTGAGTTTTTTGACTTTTGTAATTTTGTAGCATTGCTAACGTTCGAAAACTGAGTCAAGACCAAAAATGCTTTGTAATACATAAAAATGGGCCTAAGCAACAATTCGCAACACATGAAGTCAGTAAATTGAAGGCCTCTGGCAAATTGCCAAGCCGCGCAGCGAGCAAAATCGCGCAGTATTATTATTATGATATTAATAATATTAATATTAATATTAATATTATTTATGCCTAAGGCAAATGGTTACCCAAGCGTTAGGCGGTCTGAGAAATAGTGAGGCAGGAAGAGGGGGGGGGGAGAAAAGTGACAAAAATTTCTTTGGGGTGAAGAGGCAAAAAACATCGTTAGCCACGCCTTTCGAAATCTTTCAAGATGTTTTCTGGAAATTTTGCGGACCTACATACTCTTCTTAGAAAGCGGCTGCCGTCATAAGTTTTTTTTATTTAAAGGGGATCAGAATTCTTGAGAATCAAAAAAATTTCATAGCTTTACGGATGAAAACAAGTCATTTGCGGAATTTAACTCATGTGGACAGTTTCCGAACTTTTTTTGTGACCCATTCTGAGATGGGGTAAGCCGAGGGGCACACCACTTGCCCCTCGGCCTGCCCCACGTCTAAGCGGTGGGAACTTCTGAGGAAATCCACAAATTGCTGGGCTGTCATTTATATGCGAAACATCTTCCTAGTTCCGTAACTGTCAAGTGCGTCACTCAGCTGGCAGCCGCGTCAATTCCGCTACCTGAACGGCGCAGCGCGTAATTCATCCCGGCGAGAATTTTCTTCTTTTGGCCAGCAATCAGACCGGATTCGTCGGTGAGGTGCGAGTGTGAGGAGGAGGAGAGGCGACCTCGTCCCTCCATCGATGGTCATCCCGTCAATCGTTCCGTTCCAATGATCGCCTCGTTGGTTTTGCATGGCTTAACGCTTTCCCATCCATCCACTAGGCGAAGGGTTGATCTGGCTAACTACGTAAACAACAATCATTCTAACCCGATTCTGAACCTGTTCTATATTCCTCTCAGGACTAGCAGACTAGTCCAGAGAGTTTTGTCACTGTTACGTTGTTCACTTAGTAGTAATGACCACAGTAACCGTTTGCCATTATAGGGAGATGTGGCTGGTTCTGGCAGCGTTGGTTGGGTCGGTTACTGCACAGTATACTTCACAGACTTACCCTGACCCTCGGTTAGATCCTATCACATGTCGGTTACCATTTCCTGCTCATGTTTGTGATCCATCTTCTATTCTGAGCGACGATGAACGATTACGACTAATGCAGAGAATAAATGAGGTAACAAATTCTATTTTTTGAAATTTAGACCCCCCCCCCCAAAAAAAAGAAAAATTTCAGTTTCGGCCGATCACAGCGGGAATCAAAAATACTTCACCAGCATGTCATAATCAACCAGAAAAGAGCCTAGAAGTAACTTTCCCTTTCCGCATTTTTCAATCTCTATTGGTTTTTTTTCCATTTCATCCAGATGCTATGTACATTAGCGATTCTTATGACTTTACATCTTTAGATATTTGTCATCGTTATTGACAAAATTGGCAGCATACCCGGTGCTCCGGTTGACATTGAGAAGTTTGCAAATAATCTGAAAAGGCGATATCAGAATTATCAGGTGGGTAAATTTATTTATTTATTTATTATTTAAGTTGGTCATTGCTTATAATTGTGAGACGCAAACCCAACCAACGTAACGGCTCTAGTTTGTTTCATTTAGGATGTTCTACTGAGAGACTGTTCGTCCAATTATTAGGTTGGAAAGAAAAAAATGTCGCTTTTTCCGTTTTTTCTCAGCCAAATGGTATTTCTCAAGAACTAGAGTACATCGAAGGCCCAAATTTCGTGGTTAAAGTTCGAAGGTTTGTAGTACACAAACACATATATGGGAGCAGCCCAGGACTACTAGGGGCGGAGCTTGCCATTTTTCGTTTTTCGATTTTTCCTTGATCTCTGATCGCGAAAAAGATTTGAATGCACATTTGGATAAGTAAATATGTCTGCTACAATCTGGAGCAAGTGAGAGATTTGTGGGGTTTCTGGGGGCAAAAATCCGATTTTTGGCATTATGAGTTGCTCTTGCGTTTTGGCTTAAGACTTTCCTAAACTACCATTAAGCCAGTGTTCAAGGGTCATCTTGTAGAGCTTATTTTGCCTATCGAATGATGCCCCTCACATAATTTTTCCGATTCGTTCTGTTACTCTGCTCTAAAAACGACAATCTTTTCTTTCCAATCAATAACTAATCTTAGATTTATGAACGAGTTTCAAATTAAAACTAAGTGGTTTATAAGCCACTGCATAAATTGTTTTATACCGATGCGCATCAAAAGTTTATAAACCTTTGTAAGAATTTTATAATGCCGCAAAATGAGATGATCTCAATTTAAATGCCTTAATTTTTTCCCGTAAATCATGCGCTTGCATGATTCTACATAATTCACTTGCAGCAAAGCTACTTGGACCTGGCGTAAGATGCCAAGTAATTTTGTTCGAGATCGTGCTAATGATTTAGTCAAAGCCGCTTTTATGAATTGCTATAACAACACTGCAAAAACCCTCAGAACTATTAGAATTTTACGCTTCGTGAACTTCATCATCATTCGGGTGCAGCAATTATGGTTGGCTTTGTAACATGAATGACTACACATTTATGGTTATGGACTTTTCCAACCTGCTATAAAAATGCGTAGCATTTTTTGATGTCTAACCGAATAATTTCCAGTCAAAAATAACTTGTTGCTAGTTGTTATGTAACATAATGCAACTGGATGTGATTACCAGCCTTAATGAATTCATATCTGAATTTGCATTTCCGTATATGGTTTCTCAAAGGACAGCACAAAGATAATTGTCTTTGATTGCACTTCCTTTTCAAAATCTTCCGTTACCTTTCCTTCTCAAAATCTTCCGTTACCGTTCCGTCCCCAAAAACCTTTCCGTCAATAATCCAACGCTGAAAAACCGCTCTATTGAGCGGTAAGAGAACCATTTGCAGTAGAATTCAAATACTTACTGTGTAATAACTTATTTTCAAAAATAATCGGTGACCGAGAATTGAGTATAAAGCTTTTGGCTTCTTTTTGATGTAGATCAAAAACTATAATTTCAGGATGTTTCCAGCTGTGATGCAACTGTGTTAATCGTCAATTCTAGGCAGGACAGGCAGGTGAGCGTACTCAATTTTGCACCTACTTTTCTCTTTTGTTTGATAGTTTTGAACACTTGATTAATAATTTATTTTTGATTTCTCCATTAGTTCCTAACAACTCTAGAATGCATTACTCTTTAAGTTCAATTCTGGAACATGTTTCAATTTTTGAAATAGACGGCCTAAGTATTTATTCTGAATAGCTATCGCTACAAACTCAAGTCATCGCCAAAATTTTGAATTTTATGTTTTTTCTTACTGAATAGACTTTTTTGAATGTTCATGGTACTTTCGAACTACTTTGATTTGTAGTGCAATGAGTTTACTCAATGTTTTTGGTAATGTATGTTGTTGACTCGTGTACAAATTGTAAAAGTAACACTGAATACCAAAATTATAGATATTCACCGTCGCTGGGCGAGATGCACGAATATCGAAAGACACCTTGAGGAAGGCCTTCGAAAGGAATGTAGGCAAGTTGCTGTTTGTCATATTTCTAAACGGAAAACGATCCAATCAATAATAAGATCTTATTGGTTGTCCTAATTAAACCTTTGGCAATTCTAGACTCGAGAAATTATTATAAATCAACAGTCATTAGGGCAGCCAGTCAATCAGTCATTCGTACTACTTCTTGATGGCTCGATAATCAAAAAGCACGGTACTAATTTTATGCTCCAACAGTACCGTGCTTTCATCCACTTTTATCTCCAAAAATGGTGCAACTTATCTAAAAATATCCTAAAATTATCCTGTCCTAGATACCACTAGAATATCCTAGATACCGCTAGATCATCTTTGGTTAATGATTCAAAAGAAGTTTTGGGGCATTTGTAGCGGATCAAGAAAATTGGCCATTCAAAATTACTGAAAAGTTCTTCTTTAAATCGTTCGCTGAAGAAAGAAGTAACTAAAGAGGTAGATAGTTGATCTATTTTTACAGAAGAATAAACGTTCGTGAGTGTTTATCCTCAAACTTCGAAAAACTCGAGCGATTGTTCACAGCATAACGGTCACACTAGAAATACTTGGAGTAAATTATGCATGGTATTGCAAAAGAGCTCTGTTTTATTGTCGGACTGGAAAAAAAAGCCCGAAATTCGAAAATTTTTGACTTGCAAATTGCAGTGCGAATATTTTTTAGCAAGGCAAAATACCATAAACATAAAACATGCTAATGTGAGGTGTCACGTTTTTTGAAATCAGTGCAATCTATTTAAGGTCATTTCAAAGCTGGACATTATGCCATGGGGTTGGAAGGGATGATCGAGATCGTCGTTGCTACGTATTCACAATCACATATTGTGCAAGTGCCTACTCCAGAACTGTACTCCACAAAGTAAGTGGTTCGAAACCATCCAAATATATTATTTACGTGATATGTTGGTCTTAGATATATAAGATGGGAGGTGAGGTAACAACAGAAATCTCTTTTAGAAGGTGGTCTGATCTTTATAAAAATCGAAGGTTTACTAATTTATGAATAGTGTAAAATACTTGTAAAGTTTGCTCTTGTGCTCTTGTAGATCACTTCGAAGATGATATTTGTTATATAGAGGAGGCGAGGGGGGAGGGGGGGGGGGGAAGGGGAGGGCCGTCGCCACCTAGTCTGACATATACCAGGTTGTTCCGAAAGTCCTGTCCGATTTGCAGATTTTCTGATAAGAAACGTTGTAACTCTTTTTAAACTAACATCATTGAAAAATCAAATTTTGTTGGCTTAAGCGAGTTTATGTTTACCATAAGCACAGCATGCCATGTAAAGAAGGCTTGGAGAAATCTGCAAGGTTCCCTTTAAAACAATCTAGTTTAACGTACTAATGCTTTCACATAAAGATAGGCAGACATATTTGGCTGCCATCATTGAGTAGCCTATACTTCAGAGATTTTTTATGGCTAGAGAGAATTATCTTTGCTGCACAGAAATTTTTACAAACAAATCAAAAAGCCCATTATTTGAGCCTTCCTCCTCGCGCGCAAATATGTCGACTTTCTAATGATTGATTTTTTCTTGCTGTCACGAACGAAAAAAGCTAACTGGCCTATGGTCCCCGCTTACTCTCGGAGAAAATCTTTGTGTAGACGATTAAATGAGTATTTCGGTCAGCTACTGAAGTTATTATAATCAGGTAGTTTTCCATAAAGGACAGTCGCTTCCGTCACCCACATTTCTGGCACAGAAAACTTTACAAAATTTGAGTGAAGCCGTGACAAATTGACGATCCAAATTACTTCATTTTGTCTTTGCGTAAAAATAGACATTTTGTTCACCTTCTAGCTTAGTACCTGGTCTGCGCACTTACTTGTTAAGCAAATCCACAACTTCGCAAAAAGTACAATCACCGATCCACTTTGCTGGGCTAAAAGTCGCGTGGACCCGTTTGACGCGCAGTCTTCAAAAGTCCCATTTATCGGATTGGCTTGTGCTTTTGTACAGTTTACGTATATGCTGATACAATGCTATGGCCAAAATCACAGCTCAAGATCTTGACTATAACTCCCTCCATGAATTTCGTGACAGACAAACATAAAACACACAAACAGACAAACAGACAGGCACGTGCTTTATTATAAGTCGTGATTACATATTTAATTGCGGGAATCATAGACACTTCTCCTTGAGCATGACTGCATTTTGGCAACTTGGCTTTGGGACTTGGACTTTTATCACTGGGAATTTGTTTCGTGAAGCATTAGTAAGCATCAGAAAGAGCAAGAGAACTGCCTTCAGACTGCGCTCATATTTCTGCAAAAAGTGCAAAATTCCAAGAAAATGCTTGCGTTAAGACAAGGCAATAAAAAAAAATTGGACAGAACTTCCTGCACAACTTCGTACATATAAGGCATGCAACTGTAGCATGCCTTTATTACAACTAGGCTTTTTACTGAATAATTTTAAAGCCGAGAGCAAAGGGACTTGAAAGCCTTATGTTTTGTATGATGTATACAGATTAATGTATCGAATCAACGTTATTATATTCAACATAATTTTTCAGTTCTGCATCAGCCACACACTCAGCAGAGCAGCTAAAGCCAATCGCAGCGCCAGCTCCCGAGAAGATTCTACCAGCTCCAGAAGCCGTAGTGCCATTCAGAGCTGCTGGCCTTCCAAACAGTATTCAACCCTCAGCAAAGTTGCCAATTAGCCTTGACGATGTTCCTGAAGACGATAAGGTAAGCAGATGTCTTACAGTATACCTACCGTATAGGTGCGAGTGTGTCAGCCGAATACTTTCAAGATCTGGGTCAGTATCATGCAGCAAGCAGTGGCTCGTTGTGGCCAAGGGACGGATACATTAGCTGCGAATGTTCGTGCTGTGGTAGAAGGTATGAGAATGAGAATAATTCGAATATAAATCTAAAAACTGTGATTCTAGAAGCAATGAGTATCTCCTTGAAATTGATTTCTGACGCGCGATACAACAGCATAGAAGAAGAAGTTGAAACACACAAGGATGTGATTGGAACTCGAGAAAGGTACAGAGTTAGAGAGTACAGTCCAATTTGACAGTTTATGTAGTGTCTTTGCGGTGAATGCAATATTTGCGCGGAAGCAAATCGTACTTGTGCTGCCATTCTGTTCCTTGTGCGCAAAAGTTGGCCAGGTGTTTGTCTTTTTTTACGCGCAACTGTTGTCGGCATTAAAGACACCATAGGTTGTCAGATTTAGTGGACTATATAATCTCTAGATCCCGATATTTTCTGTATTTGATACCTTTGGTCCTAGGGCTTGGGAAAATGCCAAAACGAAGTTCATCCAACCACTGTTCCAACAGTATCGCACCACCATTCTCAACTCAGCACAGCAGACTTGTCCCTCGATAACTCTGAAAAGCTTGAAGCGTCGAAGAGTTTAGGCTGACAATAATGTTTGTATTCCGTGTTTGTTAAGTCTTTCCGTCGCTTATCTATCGCATTCTACCATTGTTTCACATGTCTTTCAAGAATTATTACTGTTACGGGTACACTTATAAATAATTTTATGTCGTCACCCATGAAGTGAACATATGTTCGTTGCTGCTTTTTCACATCTGAGCAAGTTATTAGGAGGAGGTTGATCCATGCTCCATACCTGGCAAGTAAGCTATCATTTCCTTTGTACAAATGCCACACGCCAAGCAAAAGTCATGGAAGACATTGGTAACCTTTTCAACTGGCTTGGCGGCTGGAAGGCGGAGCTTTGTGGCCTAGTTAAAGGCAGTGGCTCGGCCAATCTCAATCTAGTCAAATTTGCGCTTGCCTGGGGTTAAACACGCTGGTCATGAAAATCCAATTTAGAGAGCTCAAAAACGGCGAAAACGAACGTTTTTCAACCCCCTTCCCTTCGAAATTGGACGAGTGGAGCAAGCTTATGACGCCGAATCGTTGCGGAACCCAATGATTATAGCATTGCGGCGGGCAGCCTCCAATGGTGAGAAGCAAGCTGCCAACTCGTGTGCGTGTAAGATTGGCTTGCGCGTGTAAATTTGAGAGCGATTTTCTTCACAGGGAAGGCATACTGTGCAAAGGGGATTGCACTGTTTTCATACTTGGGCGATAAGGAACCTGCTGCGTTAAGATCCTAGGTTGTCAAGTTTTGCCGATCCACTGCCTTTAAGGCCTCTCGCGCCCGCGATGCAGTCTGCGTCTCTCTCGTGCGCGTGCTCTTTTATCACCACCTAGCCTCAAATAGGTCACAAAGCCCCGCCTTCCAGCCGCCAAGCCGGTTGAATTAGAGCGTAGCATTCGATGCATTTCTCAGGTGCCTTGATACCACGCCGGCAGCCATCGCTACCCGCCTTTGAGCACTATTTCATTATCCGAATCCCAGTTCGAAAGCACAAATCTTGTTCAAACTTGGTCTACTGGGGTTACTCAGCCGGCGCGGTAGAAGGCACCCTCAGGCCCCAACCTACCTCGCTCAGAGGTGCCCAAAAGCGCTCCAAAGCGAGGTAGGCATTCTCTGATGCCTCTTTACTTCCCGTGTGAGGACAGATGTGGGAAAGTGTAGAGAGTTCAGAGAAATTTGGGCGTTTTTGAGCGCTTGGGCGCTTTTGGCCGCTTTCGAGAGAAGTCTGACCGGAGCCTTATTTTCTTCCAGAAAGTTACATCTACACTACAGCTTAGGCAAACTCAGAAATTTACCAAATACTACGCCTCGTGACTTTTCCATGGTCCTCCATGAACCCCCAAGAAGCCCAAACAATGGATGGATAAAGCAAATCTTACAGGATACAAAACAGTTGTTTCCTTTTTTTTTAAAAATCGCCATAATTTGAATTTTGACAGGCCTATAGACACGAACGCATCAAACCCCGACAAATATACGAAATATGAAAATATCAAAAGTGGATCATGATTCAACTCTGTTTTTACAAAAAAGAAACAAACATTTTGGGATTCGAAATATCAAATCTCCGATATTTCGCTTACAGCTCGGGGCCAGGGCCCGGCACGAGTCGGTTTCTAGGGTTTTTGAGAACGAAGTCCCCCCTAATTTTTCTAAAATTTACAAAGTCTCCTTTGAAACTTATCAGAAACCTACCAACTTAGGAGAAGATGGAAACATAGAAGAGTCACTAATCTGAAAGGAAAAATGTGAATAGGATTAAAATTGAAAGTGGAGCTGAATATAACGCAGGCAGAAAAGCTTGTCATTAGACGCGATATCTAACAAGCGAATTATGAAGAAATTGAGGCAAAAGAAAACAAGAAAAGGCAACGATATAACAATGTTTCCATGCTCAGAGATGATTTTGACCGGCGAATTCGTCCATGATAGAAAAATCCGAAACTTATGTGAACTTACAAAAATATATGCTCCAGACGATCTCAGATCGTCTGGAGGCCGTCACTCAGACAGTCGAAGGAATACTTCCGGAGCGAAAATGGGAGGGTCCCGGGCTTTGCCCAGCGGGGGTTTGCCACTCGTGCTCCGAAGCCCTCCCATTTCACGCGTTTTGATGTTCTTCTTGTGTCGTCACCGTGACGTGACGTGCAGTTACCGTTTTGTAGACGATGACGCAATATACTCATACTTACGCTGTATGTGAATCAACACTTTTTGCCCATTTACTTGCTTTCGTTATTGTTTTTGGTCCTTTTCTCTCTTTATAGTCCTTGGTAGAAGCTCACGAAGAAAGCTGCACTACTGGGTATGTTTCTTACCGCCGAAACCGTGTAAAAAATGGTTTAAACTTTTCGCCACAATTAAGAAATGATAGAAACGCGGTATAGAATAACATTACATATGTGTCTATCCTATTATCTGTCACAACGTTTATGGCATGTATAGGGTTGCATACGAAAAAAAAATCTTCCAAGTTCTTATTTTTTAGCACATCTGCACAAGCCAGAGACATCTCATCAACAATTATTCGTCTGAGATTACAATTCACACCAATCAGTGTGAAGAGCCGCTTGAACGTGTACTAACAAAGGGATAAAGTAAACTCCGAAGGTTTGCGAATCCCAATGCGATGCACCAATCGACGCAATCGGCGCTTTTGTAAGCTCTCATATTTGGCGGATATTTATCCAAGCAATCACTATAGCACTGCAAAGTGAAAGTCTTGATAGAGTGCTGAAGGGCGGCGTGGAGCCAAGCTACGCCGCATTCGCCTGCCGTACAACCTAAGGACTCATTGCGTTGCGTCGCCCCTAAATGCAGCGGCAGAGAAGCTACGTTACCCAGCGGATTGAGCATTCTCCATTTCTCCATATATGAAGAGGTTGAAATTTGGAATTTGGATGAGGATGAATAGAATAAAATTTGAAGAAGAAGTGTCTTGAAGCAGAACCCATGAAAAAGCAAAGAAAGCAGATCGGTTTTTTTGAAAAGTCATTGAAGAAAAGCTTTTGCCCCTTTTCTCTATTGATTCGCGTGTTCTACTTCTCTTGAGCACCTTCTAAGTTAGATTCAGCCTTTGATTAACCCTAAGATCTCCTATTTTTTCAATATTCGGTTTCTTATCGAATTTATACAGTTTGACATCTTAGGGTTCAGTAAAAAAAGTGACTGCATGCCTGGGATGTCTCAAGCCGCTGGCAGGAGCAGCGCTACTCCTGCGGCTGCAGTCGAAGGCGACGCAACGTAAATGGCCCTCAGAATATACCGCAGGGCAATGCAATGTAGCTTTGCTCCATAACGCCTGCTCCCTTGCTAAAGCATGTCTATTGCGTACTGACCTGTTGTTTCTCTTTATAGTGTTTGCTATCAGGAAACGCCTTGGGCACTGGATATTTAGCATGAGCATCAATGGGCACTGGATATTTAGCATGAGCATCCTTGGAAACTGGATATTTAGCATGAGCATCATTGGGCGTTGGATATCTAGCATGAGCATCCCATACGGGAACCAAAGCCGCGTGAAGTAAACTTCGAAGGTTTGCGAATCCCAATGCGATGCACCAATCGACGCAATCGGCGCTTTTGTTAGCTCTCATATCTGGCGGATATTTATCCAAGCAATCACTATAGCACTGCAATGTGAAATTGATAGAGTGCTGAAAGGCGGCGTGGAGCCAAGCTATGCCGCATTCGCCTGCGGTACATCCTGAGGACCCATTGTGTTGCGTCGCTCCTAATTGCAGCCGCAGAGAAGCTAGCGTTGCCGCGAAATGAGCCATTCTCCACATTCTCCATGTATAAGGAGGTTAAAATTTGGAGGATGATGAATAAAACAGAATTTGAAGAAGAAGCGTCTGCGAAATAAAATCCAAGAAAAAGCGAAGAAAAAAATTGATTTCTATTGAAAATTTACTGACAAAAACTTTTGTCCTTTTTCTCCACTTATTCTTGTGTTCTGCTTCTCTTGAACACCTTCTAAGTTAGATTCAGCCTTTGATTAACCCTAAGATTCTCCTATTTTTTCAACCTTTGGTTTCTTATTGCATTTATACAATTTGACATCATAGGCATAGCAACAGGGAATGTCTCAAGCCGCTTGCAGGAGCAGCGCTACTCCTGCGGCTGCAGTCAAAGGCGATGCAACGTAAATGGCCCTCAGAATATACCGCAGGAGAATGCGACGTAGTTTTGCTCCATAACGCCTGCTCCCTTGCTAAAGCATGACTATTGCATAACTGACCTGTTGTTTCTCTTTATAGTGTTTGCCATCAGGGAACGCCTTGGGCACTGGATATTCAGCATGAGCATCCTTGGGCACTGGATATTTCGCATGACCCTTGGGCACCGGATATTTAACGTGAGCATCCTTGGGCACTGGATTTTTGATATGAGCATCCCGTACGGGAACCAAAACCGCATCAAGTAAACTCCGAAGGTTTGCGAATCCCAATGCGATGCACCAATCGACGCAGTCGGCGCTTTTGTTAGCTCTCATATCTGGCGGATATTTATCCAAGCAATCACTATAGCACTGCAATATGAAATTCTTAGTAGACTGCTGAAGGGCGGCGTGGAGTAAAGCTACGCCGCATTCGCCTGCGGTACATCCTGAGGACCCATTGCGTTGCGTCGCTTATAATTTCAGCCGCAGAGGAGCTAGCGTTGCCGCGAAATGAGCCATTCTCCACATTCTCCATGCATAAAGAAGTTGAAATTTGGAATACAAACGGATTATGAGGACGAATAAAACAAAATTTGAAGAAGAAATGTCTATGAAACAGAACCCAAGAAATAGCGAAGAAAAAAATTGATTTCTCTTGAAAATCCATTGACAAAAACTTTTGTCCCTTTTCTCCACTGGTTTGTGTATTCTACTTCTCTTGAGCACCTTTTAAGTTAGATTCAGCCTTTGATTAACCCGAAGATTCTCCTATTTTTTCCGTCTTTGGTTTCTTATTGCATTTATACAGTGTACATTATACATTTATACTTTCACATTCATTTAGCATGCTCTCATGACATCTTAGG